TTTTGCAATCTTTTGACTTCAATTGCATCACAATATTCACTAAACCTAATCTTTCATTATATATTACATCTCAAACTTGCTTTATCGATGAGAGGTAATAAATTTACTATTTTAATTAATCAATAATTAGATATATATCTTATAATGCTTTAAAGCAATTTTTGCATCCTTGCTGCTTGATGAACTTGATGTTTTTCAATACTCTCAACGTTGAAATCTTTCCAATTCCAACTTGTAGACCCAACCCAACTAAACATTTGCAATTTATGATACAAGAATTAAAAAACTAAGGAGCATAAATCTTATTTTTTAACGGTTTATTTTAATTTTCATTCTACATTTCAAACATGTCAAAAAAACTCACATTTATGGTCTTTGCTTTTCACAATATACCTTGAGTTATATTTGAAAAAAATGCATGACAGCTTGTTATCAATGCTCAAAACCTCAGTTACATAGCAATTTCAATACTTGGATCTTTTGCAATAAACAAGATAAATTGTGAATAGATCTACAAATTTTACTTTTTCACAAATTATACTCTTATCTTGTCTTTAATATGTGATTGATCTAATTCTTATCCTATCTCATTTTCTTGCTTGCGTAAAGCTTAAAATATTTACCCTATCATTAAATTAAAATAAGCTCAAATGTCAATACAATAGTTCAAAATACTCCAACACTTTCATGTTAGTTTGTTCAAAAAATATTTTTTTTAAAAAAACACATTATTTGTAATCATTCACACACTTATTAACACAAGCTATACACATTCAAAGTCATAGTTCAAGCTAGAGTTACGCGCTTTGTCACTAAAAAGATGTGTACATAAATGATTTTAAGCTTGATTAAGTATTCATAGTTATGTTTGTCAAAAGCTTTCGTAAGATCTCTTTTTAATAACACTTTACCAAGCATCACTAATTAGAGTTAAGGTAACTTCAGGTGATTAAAAGATCTTAATTATTTGTAAACACATAATCATATTTGAAGATACTGAAAAACTCTTTCTGCTTTGAAAAAAATATATATTATGTAGCATTTATTGAATATTATTTAAGAGTCACGTGGATTTATATTTTCACACATAAATTCTAAGCTTTTACAATATTCAAAAGTTTGATAGCTCAAATTAAACATTAAAGTAATCATATGATGAGATCATTATACATTGATAATAGCAAAGAGTACATTTTCAATAGTTTACAATTACCAACAAAGATTATGAGATCATTCAATATTTTATCGTAGTGAATATTTTGAAATGAGATTTAATTTTTGTTTTTCATATTATGACTAATGTTGAACAAATTGTATTATATGTTGAGATCATCTTGTTTATCATACATATTTTGAGCTCTATCTATTTACACAATATATTTTGTTTATATCTATAAGATATATCTTTTTAAAAAATACTATTTAATTTTCAAACACATGTACAATTTAATTATAAATATTTTAGGTATAAAAAAATTGAAATCCTACCAAATATTTTTAGTTTATTATATCTTGATCCAATGTTTCAAGGTTATGAAGTAGTATAAACTATGTATATGAGTATGTACAATGTATGTGAGTATAATAATTGCTTCAATGCGCCATGTAAAACTTGTAATTTCATGAATGTGTTAATTGTAATATTTATTCAGAAGTTTTTTAATCATTTTTAATTCAAAATACTATAATTAATCTTAGCCATCAAGTTTATACTTGGCAGAATAATTATAATAGTTATAAAAATAAAGTCTAAACATAATCATTTGTCTTGGATCATTATCTAAATCTAAAAGCAAAAAAAAAATACTTTAAGCATATGTTGTTTTTCTAATTCATTGCACTAAATCTTAATTAAATAAGTGGAAAATAGAGATTTCAAAATTTTTAATGTAATAGTTGTGATGTATTCATATCAATTTAAGAGGAATAAAACTTGTAAGAGAGTTAAATAGATAAATAGCATTTTATTTTATAATCATATATATCAAATAATGTGTTAGTCAAAATAAATTATGTTTATAAAACATCATGGTAATAATGTAAAGAATATGAATAAAGACTTGTAAAATAGACCTCTATGCAAATTCAAACAATATTTTGCATGATGTATTATTCATCAAAAAAAAATTTAAAACTACAATGTATCTTGTAATGCCAATAAGAGTTTCTAATGAGTGAGGAGAATATATGCTATAAGTACATAATGGCATATCATTTATAATATATATACATTATAAGCTACATAATAATTAGATTAGAGTTAAAACTTGTTAATATGCAAGAGCTCATATCATTAAAAGAATAATATTTTGAACTATTCAAAATGAATATTATGAAAATACGTTGGTATTATAAAACCTTATATAATCTGTGAGATTTTAATATTTTAATAAGCTTAGATATAATAGTGGTATAGATTGCAACATCTAATTTTGTATAGATAATAAAATGTTACAGCTATTTGATTATTTAAATTATCAACCTTTAATTCATGACAAATTGAATTTCAAGTTTAAAACCAATAAAACGTGCCACAAAACTTTTCAAGATTGATGATTAGATTTCAACAATGAAAAAAGTTATTTATATATATTTTTAAATATCAATTGTAGAAAAATATGCAAGATAATTTGATTACTATGTGCTGTAAATGCAATTTTTTAAATTTATTGCTCAATTTGATAAAATAAAGATTTTAAGTTCAAAAAAAAAATTGACTAAATTGAGCATTCAAAATGAATTAATTGTACAACATCAAGTTCTGATCATGCTTTATTGATGTCAACAATGAACAAAAGAAAATTAATATCTGGTTATCTCTATGCATACAGTAATGGATAAATGATAGGAATATTAAATTTTATATTTTGTTAGAGCTAAATCAACTTTGAAAGTAAATTACAAAGCAATTTAACCAGAAATTATTTTATTTCATTGATTGAACTTATATTTTTCATAGAATTGAAACTTGATGTTGTCAATCTACTTTGTGATGATTTAATTGTATCACATCTTGAAGCAAATCAAATGATACAAAAGAGTTAAAATGTATTTACAACATTTTATAAGAAGTGCAATGTTTGATAAAAAAATTGAGTTTATCAAAATTAAAGAATAATTGAATTCATATGATGCATAAAAAAATTTAAGTCACAAATTTAAAACATATTGTGCTTCTTTACACAAATTTTGTACAATTCAAAGTAATATCAACCTAAATCTTGTGAAAAGTGAAGTAAGTTTTACAAATTTTAACAAGATTACGTTATATAGGACATAATTCAAAATATTTTTTTTATGATTTAAATTATATTATTTATTATATTCATAAGCTATTTTATGATTTGTTAAGTAAGTTTGTACATGGTAATGTATAAAAACTAATCAATTAATTTTGTACCACAAACTTAGAATTTTTGAGCAAAGAATTGCTTATTTTAGATGAAGATTTATTAAAATGTATCGATGAGTTTTCATTCTTATTAAACCATTGTATGGATTTTATTTTTTGGAAGAAATATTTATATTTTTAATTAATGAACGCTTAGTTATATATTGATAAATCATGTTTGTATATCAAATATATGTTTAAATTATCTTCAGTCTTAGTAAACTTGGAATGAAATATTGCAAGTTGTATAATATTAAATAAAGATTAAATTTTATGTTTCACCCCATCCATCTATATGACAATGTATTTAAAGCTTTGAAATCAATCTTAAATCATCAATTCATCACAATGAAATATATAAATTATTTCTAAATAAAATCATGAATCTGTAATCACAGGTAGATCATTGATCGTTGCATATGATGTTTCAAAGACTGTTATCAATCAAATATAAGTTTTGATTTGTACCTTTTTTATTACAAAATATACAAAGTTAATCTACAATTGAACAATAAGTAATATTTCAACACATATCAATAATCTTATGTAAAGACTCCTATAAATCCTAAATCTTTTACTCCGATTGGTACACAAATAAATGAAGAAACTTATGGTGCAATTCAAAGTAGACCGGATTCACATGTGATCAATGAATTTTGAAATGCATGAACGAAGACAAATAATTATTGTGTTTGTATAGAAAGTAGGCGGTTTGAATGTGCATGAAAAATAAGATCCAAATTCTTAATCAAATGATGGAGTGGGATATTAGTGCAGACTTTATCGTGGAGTATCAATAACTACTGCCTATTGTCAAATTTCAGGAAAAATGAATAATAGTGCATTCAAGTATCTCATACATTACACGTATGAGATATATTCATAAGAAATAAATTTTTTTTGGAAACAGTCTAAAATGTTGTGTTGCCATCAATATAGATGAGATAGCGTAAATTGAAAATCTTACATAAAACCGAGATAATGAACATTTCCGACGTGATAGCAGTGTGAACTCTCAAGGATGTTTATACACCAATTTGATGCATATTTACATATATACTGTTGCAGTTTTAGCCTCTGGTTGAATTCCACTTTCTTCAGAACGCGGTCTCACGGGTTTTAAAAATCTACTTGGCATATTGTATTTCTTCTTGTTACAAATAAACCCAACGAATCGGTGAGACATTGAATGAACTGCCAGCAAGTTTTGAGTGGCATATCGCACGTGGTAATCACAGTGTGATGATCGTAGATTGGTTACATTTCGTAGATTCTGCGTGCCGCCCTAACTCGGAATATAACTCCACACGCATGTCGGGGAAATTCATTGCAACAGTGGTCACGTGGATAGATGTGAGTGTACGAGGTGCAGGTTACCTCTCCCGGGTCAAAGGAAGGACTGTGGTGAACGAGTGGACCGTTCTCCGCACTCCGTTGAAGTTTTCATTTGAGATTTATTTTAAAATTGGACCCCGTCTTCGGCGGAGCGAATGAACTCAATCACTAGGGGTGGATAACAGGCTCTTACCCGTAACCTTCAACAATTTTCAGAAATCATTCGACCTGGGAACTTGGCGGTGAAAGGAAGCAACCGGTTTGCAGAGGGTCGCAGAGTTAGCCCTGGCTAAATGAGCGAACCTTGTATTAGGGGACGGCGACCCCTTGTCCAGTTCTCTCCATGCAATGTGCGCGTGTCCCTGTCCCCCGCTTTGGCTTGCACAATCCACTTGCTCCTCCGTCGTTCTCTTTGTACAGAGTCCGAGTTGTTCCACAGTTTTCTGGCGATCGCGGCTCCGTCTCTGCGATATATCGCCGTGCGCAAGGTCGCCAGCATTACTCTCCGTGATTAGTTTTCATCTTCTCCGTCTTGTCTTCTAGACACAGGCTCCACCTACCGTCGAACCTCGGGTGCAAGCCGATCGTATACAGCCTCGAAGTAGAGATTGGAAGAAATGTCCATCGTGAGCCCGCCCGTACCTGTTCTGTTCTTACCACGCCTAGCCTTCCAGTGTGTCTGTATGCTGGTAGCGAAATCACCCTCCCTTCATCGCTTCTGAAGTTGTTTGAGCGAGGATGAATTTCAATAGAGGGATGATTAGATCCTAGAATCATGTGCGGTGGTGCAGGGAGAACGATGTAGGGCATGTCGCGATCAGAGTCGGATGTGACAACACAAATTTTCCAGACTAAGCAATGTGAACACACGATGACAGCTTCAGTCGGGGTTGGACCTTCATGCCTCCTGTTTCCCCAGGTTCGAGGTTTGGATTTGAATTGCAACTTCTCTGCTTTCACTTTCCGCTACGTCTTCTCATCGCTCTTTTTTATCATTGAAGGAGATTAGTGTCCAGGTCAAGAGACCAGCACTAGGGCGGAACATGTGCTCCGGAGGACAGGATAGTCCGGACATTTTGGGCAAGAGTTAGACTAGGTTTCTCGAGGGGAGTATAAGGCGAGATGAAAGGGGATGGGGCAATCACAGATAGGTGGCAATTGTATGCTGGAGATGTAGCCGAAAGTCGAATGGGAGTTGCTGTCGAACGGAAGGACGCCGAGGATCGCTGGCTGCCGCGGAGTACTGATGTGGATGCGAGATGGAGTCCTCCTGGTGTGAGAGGTGTCGAGAAGCCTTACGATCGCTTGGAAGACAGAAGCAACTATCGGAAGGACAATTTGCAGGAAAGTCGACCTGGGAAACGGAAACATCAAAATTTGAGGGATATAAGTTCTGACCGAAGCCGGGAACATAGTTATGATAGAAGTAGGAGTAGGGAGCGAAGTTATGACCCTAACCAGGAGGAGTGGCGCACACGTAACGATGTCGGTCGTTATAATCACTTCGGAGGTAGGAATTTCTCAAATTTTAGGGGTGGGCGAGGCAAGAACACTGACCTGTCATCTCCGTTAAGTAGTAGATGGCGAACGCCTGGTGGAGAGGATGACATTGATTCTGGTAGAGGTAATGTCAAATACAGCAGAGAAAAACAGGAAAGACGTTTTTTGGGACAAACCCATAGTCGCTTTAGCGGTCATTTAAATCGTGAAAATTATTCTCATCAGCCCATCATAGAGGGTAAGAGCCATACTCGAGATGCGCAAGTCTCCCACGGAATGATTGAGCAGCGAGGTACTACAACGAGTGCGACTAGGTACGCTTCACCACAATTTTTACCTTCTTCGTAAGTTAAAGTGGCCATCAGTGGTCATAACGAGTCAAAGAATGGTAGAATTTACAAATACCATCTTGTCAGGCGATATCCTGATCTTGAGTTCACTTCCGTTTTATGATTCAACACATTTCAAATCGTATGAATGATCTTGAATCCACTTACAGACTCATATAATTCAGACTCACTCAATTCAAAAATTGGACTTGACTAAGCATGTTGTAATTTACTAGGTCCTTTTTGTTTCGTGCTGGTGACCTAGCAAGTGCAAGCAATATTCTTCATTTCGTCCCAATGACATGACATGATGCAGGAGGTTTTTTTTTTTAATCAGCAAGGTAGAAATTGCTTCAAGGTACTTACCAGTTGGGAGCTACAATAGTATTGTACTTTTTTGGCCAAAATAAGCTATACAATATTCACAATTTATATAAACCTGAATTTATCTGTTATACGTATATCTGTTAAAGTTGTTTTTGAAATTACAGTTTGTCAATAAATGTGATTTTCATCACGTACCCGCCAAAGGAGAGGCTGTATTGAGTCGTAAGGTTAAGGAGCTTCAATATACAAGTTTTATTTTCATATGCTTGTTACTCTCTTTGGTTTGTATTTGTACCGGAATCATCACCTCTTTCACAACGCTCTGGTAAAGGACCTCTTTAGGTCGTTCATCAGAGCACGTGATCCAGTATGCCTGCCGTCTTTATAGGTATGTAACTAGGAGTGCATACCTACCTTGTGTGATGACTTTTAATGTCATGCCAGGTTTGTCCTGCCTCTTTTTTATATTCTACAAAGCTACTTCCAGTTGACCGTTGCAGTGAAAAATTGGAGAACCTGTAAAATCGTACCTGTTATTAGTTTGTGTTTGGATATGCATCCCACTCGGTAATCTTACTTGAAAGTGGCAAGTGTTTCATACACTAGTATTTTCGTGTAAAACCTGAAGATAGTAGGGCGATGCTGGAAGTAATAGTCTCCGAAGTAAGTACACTGTGAAAGTGAAGAGGTCCCTTATGTCGTAGGAATCGATCTGATGATTGAGCTTGTAAGTCGGTTCCAGGTGTCAATCATAAAAGCCTTCCCTAGCTACTCCACATGTTAACTTTGTTAACCTGAAAGAACGGGTAAAGACGAATTATTTACCATTTTAATTTGCAAAGCAAAACTCGTCACACATGATTGTAGAAAGTAGGGATGTATCTCAGAACATGGAACGAGAGCTAGTGCAATGGCTTCCTTAAGATGTTAGAGTTACCTTTGTTGTGTGCTTATAATGACCGGAGATGTGTAAGATGACTTCTACACAGTTCATGTTGCTCCGATTGTGGCGCCTTGCCACAAGTTCATCTTGTTGCTTTTGTTTTCATTTATCTATTCGTTGGCTATCTGGAAATGAGCGTAGGAGACTCACACTATGAAAAAGTTATATGTAGATGTTGTTGTCTCGTTTATAGTACTGACATACACTTAATATTAGATTTAATAGGCTTATGTCTACACGCTTTTTGGTCATCTGCTTAGTTCCACCGAACAGTCGTAAGGTGGTTACATATTTGAAGAAAAGATTTCAAAATCAAAATAAGTCGTATTTGAACTCATCAGCTTTGAACCCGTCGAGCACGACACATCAACATATGTTTTCCAGGATTATCGAGAATGATCAAGAATATTCCTTGAGAAGTCCAAGAACATCCTTGTTGTATTCATTTTTCGTTTTCTAATCTATCATCGAGTACCACAGTATCATGTCTTGTGCTTTACCTTCATGAGTGAAATGTGTTACGATGCAGATCACAGGCGAATGATCTAGAAGAGAATGACCATGGGGAGAGAACGAACTCTAAACGATCTCGGGTTGCTTACGATGAGCTGTCTGGTACTATATTGTGAAACTAATAGTTTATTGACCTTTTGTAGGGCTTGAGTGTTACGAATGAGATATGTTGGTCGTTGCGTAGAGTCAGTGTTTATATTTCGAATAAATCGTCGAGAATTTCCCGTATATTATGGGGCTGGGCTGTTTTCTTTAACGTTTTACAGGTTTTACAGAATGTGCATATTTTATGCTCAATTGTATACATCTCGATAACTTTCTCTTGAATGCTTTGTGTTAGCAGATCTTTCAGATGGTGGAAGTTCGAAAAGGACCATATCTGTTTTTTCAAGATTGTCTTGGGGCCAAGAGCCTGAGGTGGATTTTCCAACTAGCCAAACGATAGTTGTGTAGCTTCAGTCATTCATGGAGCTTTGAGAACTATGTGGCAAGAATCAGATGTTGAAAGAATTGTTGAACTTGTATGCTGTGAGGTCATATTCTCGTGAACTACTGAGGCAGCTGTGGTTTCGAACTTTTCAGGACAAGTTACACAGTCTACCTACAAAGAAGTCTGCCAGTGAAGATGCACCATCGAAAGAGTTGGAGATATCCAATGGTTCAGAGAAAAGAATTCAGAAGGTAGGGGGTGAAGTGCAGACTGAGGCATGTTCGAAGTTTGTTCTGGAAACACCTCAAAGAGGATCTGGAGCAGTAGTGGATAAGTTCACTGTCAGAGACACTTCTCTTAAGAAACAATCAAAGACTTTTTCAAAATCGACATGCTTATCTTCCGGTGGCAGTAGTATGTTAGCTGATTTGGAAGTTCCAAATGAGACTACCAGAGAGAATCTTGGAATAGAACCTGGTAATGATCAAGCTAAGAGCGTCATTGAAGTTATAAAGGTACGTTTGTTCTTCTTCGTGTATTCATTTGATATTCATTCGTTCGATTTGTCTAGAGGCGAATTGAAGTATACAGTGGGAATGCAGATCATAGATCATGCATTATGTCCTTTGATGTGTACTTCTGTCACTGTGAGCGTTTGTCTGAAAGTAAAGAATAACTCAAACTGACAAGAGTTAAGTCTGTGTAATAAAATTTGAAAAGTTGTCTCAGTATCTTATTGATACTCCATTCAAATACTTTTTGCAGATCGTTGTGAACGATGACGTCATCAACCTTGAGGCATCAGACTTGCCTCACAGGTCAGGATTAGATCTGAATGTTCTTCCAAAAGGATATGATCCAGTCCATCCTTCTCCCAATCATATAGATGAAGAAGCAGGAAGTCATCGTAATGAAGGAGCTGTGGATGTTGCTGTTTCAAAACTCAATGGATACCATCAAAAGTAAATTCGATAAACTCATTCTGATTCTTACTCCATCCCTTTGTTGATTCTGATCACTGATTGTCATCATCTATACTTATGTGATAACTTTATTGTGCAAGGTATTATAAATTTCTCAGAAAGGTCCACGGTGTTCTGTTCAACATTAAGCAGTGGACGTACCATATAAGACCAGCTTTATTCATTATTCATCTTTGGACAGGTGCATGGTGATTCGTGCACTAATGATCACTTTACTATTGGAAAAGCAAAGAACACTAAAACTTAGACCTATCGTTACGAACACCTCTCTATACAAACTCACACTCTTGTCCTCTCTGCTAATTGTAGTTATCTTGTTTGAGGGGCTAACTCATCTTCTCCCAATTTACATGCTAATGAGTTTTAGGTCATGCTGTCAGTCACTGATAATTTTGCAACAAAAGTAGAAAACTGCATGGTAAGGTTTAAAGGAATGTGGGATGTTCTAGTTTACAGCAACCTGAGCTAGCTCCTTGTCTAAATTAGTACACAGAAACGCACCCGCAATGAATGCATTTTCCAGGAGTTGAGATTATGTTGATTGGTACTCCTGATGCAATTACTGTGGTACTGGTAGTGGTCATCACAACTTTGCTTAAGGTTTCATCACTATCTTTTAAAACAGAACGATTATAAGAGTTAATTTTCTGCATCTAAGGTTCACGAAGTGGTGCTTACTGTGAAAATAAGTTCAACAAATCCTTTTTTATATTGATTGTATCTTCCAGATGTTTTTAACACATCTTTGTAATGTGACAGTATGTTTGATGAAACAAGTTTGTCAGAGAAAAGTGAATCTCATGGAAACCCTTCAAGTAGATCACGGCCAGCCGAAGTTGTTCCTTCTTTGACTATACATCAAACACGGAGCAACGACGATAACGCAAGCAGAGAACATAAATTACTCATTCCGGATGAGTCATTGTCAAGTGAAGTGGTTCCGAGTTTGAGGAATGGCGATCACCTCAGTGGAGAACCAAAGATGGAATTTCATTCAGGTGCTGTCGTTCATCCTGTCCCGTACTCCACCTCAAGCTCGAATAATGGCGATCAGCTCAGTGGCGAACAGATTAGTCACCTGAAAAAAGGAGCACCTTCGTTTCTCCCTGGGAATTTGCCTCAGTGGTTGTATGGTAATAATTCAGGGGGAATGAGTGGACCTCATCCTTTGGTCCAGCTTTACGATGGATTGCGTTCTGGATTCCTACCTCCGGACCTACCAATCTATCATGTAGATAACTTGTCTGAGCCGAGGGTTTTGAAGTCCGTATGTGAGGATGGTAAGTTTTTTGGTCGCAGTTCTTCTCTGGAACACAAGGCTTTTCTTCCTCCGGGCTACCCCGCAGAGCCGCCTCAGCTGCCCGGACCAATGTGGCCACCAGTAAGGCAGTTGAATGTGGCGAATGCATGGTACCCAAGTACTGGTGTTGGTCACTTCCCGCCAGGAGGTCTTCCAGTACTGCCAAATTCAGGAATATCCCATGGTTATACTTCACATACTGAACCTAGTTGTTCCACCATGCCATATGTTCCAGCTCAGGACACTAAATCCCGAGGCTTTCCGACTCCCGGCTTTTTACCTCCCTGCAATCATCCATTAGTAGCGCCGCATGCATCAACTTCTGGTGGATTACCATGGGTTGTACCTCTGATCAACACTGTTATCCCTGATCAGATGCCTAGAAATTCCTTTGATTATCGTGGAGGATTTCCAGTGGAAGGTAGATTCATGCAAAACGGTAACGTTGCTCCTTTGTACTACGGTCAACCACCTGCAGTATTTCCAACAGCCATTGGCATTCCTGAACCTTCTAGTTTACCCTCGGAACCGAACATGAGGAGGTTCCCACCTATGCCAGAACATCACGAGAGCGGACTCTTCACCAAGGACCCGGTAAGATATTTCTCCCCAAGTTTCTCTTGTCTATATAATGCATCTCAGTTATGTTCATAATATGATCAAGTATACTTGTGCGGATATATATACTAAATGTAGAAGTTATATAACTATGGACTTTCAGGGACTATGAACAATGATGTGACTGTTTTTGGAGTTCCCATTTGTTTCTGGAAATCTTTCCATTTTCATCGTTTGTTTTCCAGGATTAGTGTAAAGTTAATGTGGAGTTTCATGTAGATGGTAACAAATCTCAGTACTGCAATATAGATATGGAGAGAATCGAGATGGAAGTACGAAGGACTAAATGGATTGGAAGGTCCGTTTACTCTCGATCAACTGTCGCAGTGGTTTCACTCCGGTCAGCTCTACAACTCCTTGAAGGTATATATCCCATATTACAATAAGCCTGATTAACGCCCAAGAGCTTGTATCTAGACTACTTTATTTGTATCTATAAAGAGGAATAGTTTGCGATATTTAATTGCGTGTAATGAGCAAAGGCAACCATACCGGAAATGTGACGTTTGGTTGAAAGAGATTGGAAATATGGTGGTCTGTTTCTGATGACAGAATTTAGACTGAAGTTCGAAAGTCTCAACAACTGTACTAGTGGTCTCTTGGATCTTGCTGATCATCCAGAGGAATTCTTTGCAAGATTGAAAGGCTGATTCTTTTGACCTTGGGGTATATTGTATACCAAACAAATGCACTGCTTGAAAGGGCAGTTTCATGTTGTGTTTTGAACTTAAGCGTATGATTTAATGTTAATCATTTTTATATGGCTATTATGACGCTATTGGACTTACTTGTATCATGAAACATTGAGTTGTTTTCATTGACAATTTCAACGACCGTTTTGGTTGTCTAACGAGAAAACAAGAACATGATTTGTTTACCTATACACATATGTTTCAGATGTCCAAGTTTTTTACATTCTATAATTCACTTTTAAAATGCTTGAGGGGCGAGTGAGGCTGTCCAGGGTGTATTGTTTATCTCTAGTTTCTCCTTGTTGAGCATATTTGGATTTTGTTTGTTGACAGCTTAGGTTTTCATTGAGGCCCAGTCCAGAAGTGACTTGATCGTTTTCACTAGTGGCTGCGTTCTCGAAGAAGACATTTTTCCTTTATGAAATGTGGTTGAGAAGCATAACCCATGCTCCATGGAGTTCCATGCTAATCGTGGGCTAATTGTTAACATTCTGTTATTTATGGGACTTCCTAACATATTTCTAATAAAATTTCAGCTGATACAATGCCAGCATGGTTGATACCCTACTAAGTGTAGCTATTATGAAGCGATTTGCATTTGATTTGCTCAAAAGAGATCTAGTCAATATGGAGCAGTCTCTTTTAAGGTCTATATTTGTTTCCAGGCTATAGACTTCCCTTTTGTTGAATATGACTCATGAAGGCACAAGTTTCACACACTTCAAAGTAAGGTGATATGAAATCAAATGCTTACTACTGTAAAACCCGTAAAATCTAAACAATGTTGGCATAATCTTTGTTCAGTAATTTTACACTGAAATCTTGTTCTGATGTTTTTGCAGATTCATGACTCTCTCTTGGCTATAGGACCTTTAGTGTTGGAGAATCTGGTATCAATGGCACATGCAGGTGTTTTGTCTCGTCATTTGACGAGCAAGCCAAGTCAAGTTCATGCCGGAATACAACTAGATTCTGGTTCACAATCTGTGGAAGCCAACACGAACAGGAGCTTTCCGGGGAAAGCTGTAGATCGTTCTGTTGCTGATGAAAGAAATCCGGATCTTACTCCTCGCACCAGTTGGAAGGCCACAAAAGACCACAAGGTAAGAGAGATAATATAACATAATATAACCAAATCAATGATGTTGATCACAACAACTAAATAGAGGATGTTTTGAAAACGGTTTGGTAGAACAGTCTGCATCATCTGGAGGATGAGCACGCTGTATGTTTGTCCAATGTCATTCAAGTTCTTCAATCTTTCTTTCAATGTCTTGTTTGGAATCAGATTTGGATAATTTTATCACAATTACTAGGTGCAGTGCGAACGTTATTTCCAGATGGAGTTGAAATTTCTTTACGCAAGAGGAGATCATTTACTCTTGGACTCGTTACAAAAGTTGCAGGAAACTTGTCTAACTGGACTTCTGAACGAGGACCAATCATCAGAAGCGGGATCATGCCCTCCTGGCTTTGAAACATGTCCACCAGGCTTTGAGTTTGTAAGGAGTCCACATTTTGAAACATCCCAAGACGCTAAAGGCAGTCCTCCATGTAAAGTTTCATTGTGGCAGTCACCGTCACAATCTCAACACCGAGCATCGGTAGGCTCAATTCATTCGTTAACAACAGTTAGTATCGTGAATATAATAAAAAAGATTTACAAGAGCAAACAAAGAATCTTACATATACTGATGGATGATTCATTAGTACTAATGGATTCTACTTCGTAACCACAGCTGTTTTGGATGAACAGTCCATTTGTTTATTATATTTCATGAGAATATGTTGAAAATTGATTTCTCACAAGGTATTGTTTCTACAGGCATCAGAAGCAGTAACAACGAAAACTTCCACACAAGAAGTCCTACCTTCAGATCCACGGCAAGAGTCCACTGGGATGATGACGAAAAGGATAACACCATATAGTGAAGTGGCCACTGTTGTGTCTCCGAGGAGTATTACATCCAAATCAAACACGGTTGGCTGCTCCACAGATCTCACAGATGTGAAGGACAAACTTCTTTCCTCAGTGAAATCAGAAGACTTCTCAATCAAACGACATAAGATTATGGACAAAGTTAAAGTAGTGGCGGGTGGTCATTGCAATGGTGTTGAGGCAGAGTTTTTAAAGCTGAAGAAAGTGAAATCGGGCAGAGAGCTGGCAGTTCCAATGAAGCGGCATACATCTGAATCCTTATCAGGGAGAGATTTGGCCGTTCCAGTAAAGCGACATATCTCTGAGCCTAAGTTGAACAGCTTATCCATTTCTGCTGCAAAATCTCAGTCTCGGATGGGAGGTCATGTCAGCCAGAAGAGACCTAACACAGGTATATGTGGACATACAGTTGTAGGCAATCGCGTCTTGGTAGAGAAGGGGACAGTTCAGAAAGGGGAACTTACTCCTGATTTTGACCGTAAGAGTGACACAGTCAAAGAGGAAGTTAGCGTGAAGAAACCTGGATGCAATCCCCAGTCGGTGTCTCATCTTCTGCCTGATTGCTCTTTAGCTTCAAGCAAATTGGAGCACATAGATGATTCGAGACGAACCCTACTTGAGAATGAGACAGTCCGCGAAGAGAAGTCAGCAGTCGGTGGCGAATTGCAGAAGATCCTAAAGAAACAAGTCAAAGCTTGGAAGAAGAAGACTCTTTCTGATTCGATGGATGGCCTTGGTGAGAGGAATAGGAAATGGAAGGTCAAAACATCCGACAGTAGTGAAAGAGTAGATATTGTTGAGAAGCCCTCAAGTCTTTCTGCCGTCAAGAGTTCAGATATAGTAGACAGGCCCTCATTTAGGGACAGGAAATTAATTCTACGGGAGTTGGTCAAAAGAGCTCGGTTTCAAAATGATGTGAACAGGGTTCAAGGCTTTGAAACTTTGGTAGGGTTGGTGAAATCAAAGGACGTGGAAGTAGAGGGTCTTGTAGATCGTGACCCAGAGTCGGAAGATGGGTCACTATGTTCTCCGAAAAAACCTGGTGTAAGTCGAATAGAAGCGGAAGACAGGAAGAAAATAATCTTCCACTCAGAGGCCATCTGTCCAAGTGATCTTTCTGCTACTTACGTTAGGGATGAAGACTACTCTCTTGATCAGAAAGGAGGTAGCCAAAGAAGGCATGCAAGCCTGAATAAGAAATTACGTCCTGCAAAAGAACTTGAGATAGCCAAGGAGGAATGTCTAATTTTGAGGCAATCGATGAGTACAGAAGAGGCTTCCAACTTTCCTGAAGAAATGGTTGCCGTCACTGCCAAGTATATGGGTAGTCCACATCCCTTGTCAAGTCCAGAGAGAGAAAATCGAGTTGTGAAGAAGAAATCTAAGCTGGATAAGAAACTTGTGGCGAATAGCGGGTCGAAGACTTTGGAAGAACTCTCCGATTTACCGCACAAGGTAGTGGATGCTGGTATGGATCGAAGTCTGAAGGTTCTGGAGATGTCGTCAAGTTTAACTAATAAGTTACAGGGTGGTGTTAACAAAGTGAAACGTCGAAAGAATGGCGTACTCCAGAAGGAGTCACAGGTTGGAGAAGATCTTCCTCTTTCTCCTTATCAGGAAGGGGAAAACAGTATTGTTCCACTCATGGAGAGAGATGTGATGCCTGCAGATTCGGTTGGGAAGGTCTTCATCAGGAAGAAGCAGCTTAAGGGTAAGAAATTTGTTCTTGGGAGAGAATCCACTAGCTTGGACGCACCGGAAGATCTGCGAACGGGGCGGCCAGACAGTGGTGTGAATGGTCATTTTGGAGGAAATCAAGAGAAATTTCAGAAGTTGGCAAGAAAAGTTGTTAGGGCCTCGGCGAAGGGTAAGAGTATACCAGCACCTGAACAACATGCAAAGACTCCTCTAGGGACCCCCTTTCTGCATCAAAATGGGATTGATATGGATTCCAGTCAAAATACCCAATTTATAAATAGCCCTCAAAGTCCTACTGGAACAGCACGTATCGAGGACGGTAAAGTGAGGGATACACAGAGACTAAGTCCCATCATAGAGTCATCAAATCTGGAAAAGTCCTTAGATGTACAGAACAACGGGACGGTTAAGTTGACAGGTCAAAAGCGAACGAAGCGAGACAGCTCTGTAAGTTCTGCTAAGAAAGTTAGGATCGAAGGACATGTTACTAGAAACAAGAACAGCGTGCCTCAGAAAGGTCGCCTGACTGTGCTCAATCTACCCTGTGCATTGAATGAAGGTGGTGATGTTGATGTTGATGAGCCAGAGAGGGAAGAGATTTTTGTAGAACCGGAAAGTGGTAGAGGTGTTAACATTCCGACCTATTGTGTGAGGGATAAGAATTATAAGCTTGAAACAATGGATAGGAATGTTGCATCAGAGGTTTGTGAGGGACAGACTCTATCAATGAAGGTTGGAACACCTCTTTCAGTCTCGAAGCAATGTGGAGACCCGGTTTCAGCGGAAGAAGTAGCAAGCGGGAAGTGTGCAAGGTGGAATCATTTAAGTTCGTCTATGGTGGAACATAACGATAGTCATGAAAGTCTTCATGGTGCTGACCCATCAGCGGAGGAACCAATGGAGGAGAAGAAGAAGTTTAGAGTGGAGAAGACTGCTGACGTGACTAACCCTCCTTGTGTAGAAAGGCGTCAGAGTCCAAAGATTAAATTTGGAGACAGATTTCTTATTCGAAAGCACGAACTTGAAGGCAGGGTTCGTGTCAGTGATGAAGATAAGATCTTAGAGAAAACGCCAAGGTTTCAGAACAGGGCGAAGATTGCCCTTCTAGATATAGGGACATGTATAGGCCAGACATCTGCGTTTGCCAAGTGTGCTCCGAGACATTCTACTTCTGACAGAAATGCAGAGGCAATACTGACCAAAGACAGTAGTTATGCTGTTCAGCCAACGGCGAAGAAAAAGAAAAACTGTGGTGAGCACAAACAGGCCAGGATGGACAAGAAGTCTTTGCACTATAACAATCGTGTGGAATCGCTGAACGAAAAGTGTTCGAGAGCTTCCTCGAGGAAGAGCGACACGTCAGCCCCTGATGAAGCGAATGAGAGGCTTGCAAATGGTCAGATCTCGGAACTGAAATAACTAGATTCATTTTCTCTAGACGTTATGTAATCACCTTGCGTTGACTTATTTTCTGTAGGCGTTATGTTAACCCGTGGGGTTAATAATGTATGAGGTTAAGTATATTCCAGTCTACCTTTAATCTTCCACGCACTCTTGCTCGTATTTTATAAGAATCTACATCCTTTTACCTTGTACATGCATGTTCGCTCAAATCCCTTTTGTAACGTCTTGTAACCTTGATGGTCATCCTCCGACCCTGGATACTTCGTATCCATTCCTGTGTGACCAACTGGATTTCCTTTCTTATGTCCACAAGTATTCCCAGCTATTTTCCAGAGGTATGCCGTCCGATTTCTTTGTGATAAACAAATTAGAGTATATCCATACCTGAAGTTTCTGCAGTGCCTGTAGTTGGTCATCGTATCTAGTCATGCTTAAGTCTACTGAATTCCTAATCATGGCGACAAACTTCTTGTTTCGGTTCTTTCGGAGTGATCTAAATACATACAGATAATCACAGCTACATCTGGGTTCTCGAAGGTTGTCTTTGCTCAATTTATACGGAGTATGCTTTGCACAAGGCGATGACATGAAGTAATTCTTATCATGATTGTATATGTTCCGGGACCTGAAATTGTTGAATTCCTACTAACATGTTGTTGGACTTTGGTGCCAGGTTTTGAAGCTAGTGGAGAGGAGCGTCCATCCTTAGGAGGACCAATCAGCGGTCTCTTTGAGGCATTACCTAAAGATTATGTGCACAGTAGATCAACAACACCGTCAGCTGTCAGAACACATCGTTCACAGGGTCTTGGATCTGGACGGTCAGAAGGCCCGTCAATATCTTTACCTGAAACAGCAGTTCTTGAGCAAGCGTGGTCGGAAACGAGCTCACAGGACACTGTACCGTGCGCGACAATCAAACAAAAGCTGAATGGCTGTGCAAATTTTAAGGATGAGGTGACAGACGTCCTCACTGTTCAAGTTATTCCTGGTTCCTCTCAAGCGATGAAGGTCTTTGTCGATGAGCGACCAAACACCTCATCTTTCACCAGGGCGAAAGATGATCTCGTAGGAAGCTTGGAAGTTCAACAGGATTCCAACCCTTTGGTATCAAGGGGATGTGCTCGGTGTTCCATAAATGGGTGGGAATGGCGAAACGGTATGGGGAAGAAAGTACGTCAGGAGGACGGAGTTCGAGCACGAGGTGCTCCTCGATTACAAAAAGTAGCTGTCCTTTCCGGTGTGACTGGGCAGCGGCCTGTTACCAAGTCTCGTCGAGGAATTAGACGTGTGAAGCATACAGAAATTGCTTGTGGTTCTACTGGGTCGCGCACCATGGCTAAGATGCCCTTTAGTACTCCAAGTTCAGCGCGTACCAACAGAGCTGCACTTCGTAAACTTGCAATTGCCGCAGAGGGTTCTGATGTTTTGAAACTCAGCCAATTGAAGGTAATGTGATACTTTTGTAACTATCCTGGTACATACTTAGGCGGGGGTTTCTTTCACTGAATGAATGATCACTTCACCTTAAGTAGAATTTAGTAAAAGGGTTGAGGGAAGTAAAATTCCCTCAACCCTTTAGTTATCAGTGAACCTGGTTCATTTTATCTGAACATACATCCACCCCAGAACAGCAAAGTGAAAGCATTGTTATGAGGATCTTGTCCTGGCGTTCTATCTGCAGGAAGTTCCTGTTTTTCTTATTTTGGAATGTTGGAATCATTCTTCAGGCACGAAAGAAACGTCTGAAGTTTCAGCGTAGCAAAATCCATGAATGGGGTTTGATCGCTGTGGACCCAATAGATCCTGAGGACTTTATCATAGAGTATGTGGGCGAACTCATACGAACTAAGGTTAGTTCCCACATTTTGAAGTTCTCTGATCGTGATATTTTTTAAAGCAAGTGATTCTGGAAACCTCCGTTGATATCAGGGATCAACTCACTCAATCTGGTCTGGTTAGTGACCTGAAAGGTTGCTAGCAGGGTTAGTCCTAGCATCATTCATGAAGGTAGATTTCAGTCATTGGAAACTTCTCATAATAAGTTATCATCCTTGTACATAGTTTATGGAACATCAGTTCGTTGTTCTGTAGTTGTTATCAAATCCTGACATGACCGGATTATTTTTTTTCGCAGATATCTGATCTTCGAGAGCACCTTTACGAATCAAGGGGGATTGGTAGTAGCTATCTGTTTCGTATAGATGATGAGTTCGTGGTACGTGATTACTGCATCTTTTGGTGGTTCTGTTCGTCATTAAAAATCGGATCATGTTAGTCCAGAGTTTATGGTTTGCAAGTGGACATGAAAGTGTATCTTGTGTATTTTCATAATATATTTAACAGAGTATATCCATGATATATTCGAGAATTTAAGTATGATGCGGGTAGTGCTTAAGATTCCGATCATGCAAGTCCAGAGAATATGATCCGTTCTTAAGTCTGTACAAGAGCTTAATTGTTTTTGATGAGGATATGATCGCTTTCCTTCTTTTAACTGTGTGCATATCTTAGGTACCATCAGTATATGAAAATGTGATTCTGCATTAATCTCCATAGACGCTTTTCGTGAGAATGTTTCGAAGGAGCAGGAATCATTTGAACCTGACCAGCAATTGTTACGTCTTTTGCAGGTAGATGCTACAATGCGTGGAGGTCTAGCCAGATTCATCAACCACTCATGTGATGTGAGTCGCTTTGTAACAGTAATATGGATTGAGAGCTCTTAAGCTATCAGCATTGTCTTCCGTCTAAATGATAGTTATGCAGTTTATAACATAGGACCATCCTTCTATGGTTGTTTAGCAAGTTGTGATTCATGACCAATCTTCAGACCCTTCACAGTAACATCATTGTTTCTTGCGGTTTAGGATCTCGATATATCTATGCTTGCGACTTTGTTATCCTCAGCTTTCAGTCAGCTTGTTTTTGTCCGCCACTTTTCCGTCGAAATTTTCTTTGCGATAGTAAGACTTGCGTCTTACTATCGTGCAGCTTGTTTCCGACTGTATTGGGTTCTATTGTGTTATCTGCCTGTTTAACATCTCAATCTATCCTTTTACGAGCTTCTTAATGAGGGTCATGTGTGGAAAAGAATGTCAAATTGTGTCACAACGCATTATGAAGACTTGCAAATAATTTTAATCCTAGTTAAAAATTTGATCATTTGCTTTTTGAGGTTTACAAAGCAACGTCATCCTTTTGTAGGTTTCATTCACTTAAGCAGATCCTTTCATCAGCATCGACGTTTTGATAGAACTATCGGGTGTTGTTGTAAATTGCAGCCTAATTGCTATACAAAAATCATAACAGTTGATGGTCAGAAAAAAGTCGTCATCTATTCAAAGCGGCATATACGTGCTGGGGAAGAGCTGACGTACGACTATAAGTTCCCACTTGAAGAGAAGAAGATACCCTGCTGTTGTGGTGCTGCAAAGTGAGTAAATTCGAAATTCTTTGTGCTACTCGTTTACTTTGTATTCATTTCGAACCAAATTGAAGTGTGAACAGTTTACGGTTGTTTCTATCCTATATTTGGACAAGAGGAATCAATTTTCTAGATAAATGCAGGTTAATGTGACTGCTGTTTATTGTATGTGTGACAGGTGTCGGGGATTTATGAACTAAGATCCATCTCTTCAGATGATGAATCTTGTTTTTCTGGTGTTGCAGTATACAGCAATCCCTACGAGGTATGCTGTGTAAAGAACTAGCTGGTCAGAAATTCGAGTTTTTATTCAGAATTGCTGGCATTGATGGTATGTTGGGGTTAATAAATTTGGTCTACTTTGACATATATACAGGATCTGCAGATGGATTACGAAGAGAATCTGGTTGCTGTGGTGCTTCGTGACGCATCCAAAATTATTCGCAAGGTGTTTTTTTGGCTCCCCCAAAGTCCTAGCTGTTGAAGAGACCATTTAATACAGTTCTGTAGATGACTATGTCTATAGATATGATTTAGCAGACAGACAGAGCTTGAATATGGCTGTCCAGGGATATCGTTTTCTGTTTTCATAAAGTTGTTGGGTCCACTATCTGAATGTGCAATCCTCCTCAAGATGAAGTTTCTCTCAGTGGAGAGATTGGGGTTCAATTGAAGATTGACTTCCAACAAATATCTCAATTCTTCGGCTATCAACTGAATTCACGCCCATCTGTCCAAAAAAAGTCACAAGCAACTGATATTCTGTGCTGTAGATAGCCACGTGGAGGTGCATTTGTCTATCTATTGCATATCCGACATGTGTGCGAAATTTAAGTGTAGTCGATTGGTCTGAAGTTTTATGTCCGTACGCTGTTCGGGGCACTTTGGTGATCCGATGGAGCCTTTGTTCTGTTGCCACGTGCTTATCAAAATCATGCAGTCATTGTAGGAGGAGGGCAAGGCAAGATGCTGAATATAGCTTTGGACACAAAAGTAAGCCTTGGCTTCTGCAATCCCGAAGTTAATCGGGAATTATGTCGATGTTGGGTCAATGATGTTGACTTGCGTATGCGAAGACTTGTCAAATTACATTCTTGGTGGGTCATCTATCCTTGCACTATGAATGCAAACACGAGATATTCTATCTGTGGATATAGAAAGTATATGTCGAGCATTTTTTCTTGAATGAGTACAACAACTTAAAGGGCGTGATCCTACAAGACTAGGACGTGCACTTTCATGGTGCTCTCATTTTGGAGATGCTAGTGACTCGATGTAATGCATGTTTGTGTCAGAAATATCATCGATTGGGTATACTGAAATCTTCAATTTGAAAAGCAGCTCGTAGTTCGGCCGACATACTGAATATGGCGTCCATGGGCCTTAGATTAGGAGGTCTATGTCAGCCTAGTCTTGAATCTGTTCTGTAATTCCCTCTATTTTCAATCTTTCAAGGTGAAGAGACATTCACACAACATTTCTCAACAACAAATAAATTTTCTCACTCAGTCTGAAACCTTAGGTGGTCTAGTTGCATTGATAGATTCGAACATTCTTTACGCGTGAAGATTTTTTAGTAGGCGCTTTTGCTCTGGAATTTCAAAGTTAATTTTTTCTAGAAGAAAAACAATTTGAAGTAAAGGTTGCCCTCACGTGGTCATGCCCCGGTTTGACTTATTTGGTATTTCAAGTCGATATGAACACCTTCTAACACTAGTCTGTACTTGTTTCAGAATGTCGTCTTCAGGACCAATCTTGATCATGAAGATCTACTTATGAATTCACTGCAATTTCACCCGGAGACAGGCACACATTCTAATGGTTTTGTGATGGTTATAAGTACTGTCCGATGAACTACCCGAGGATGATGAACCTCGTACGGAAGAGCCAATCGACAGATAAGCTTGGATTCCGGCGTCCTTGCTCGTGAGAATGATCTGCTCTTAAAACTAGTGACATAGTTGGAGACCCTGTTCTTGACCCTGGCTTATTAGACGTCCGCCTTCATTCTTCTGTCTGCTGTATTTGAGAGTAAAGCTTTTGAGACTCATGTAAATAAATACCTTCTAGGAGGAGGACATTTTTTGTTGTATTCGACGCTGGCTGCTTGTTTTATATGGAATAAAGGAATGATGGTACAGCTGGGAGTGGATGCCTCCTCCATACACACCGCAACCTCATACAGTTATGCTCTGAGGATGCCATCTTCCTAATTTAAAGCTTCATATCTGAATCGAAAATCTTGGAGAGAATGTAGTTTTCCTCCCTGTCCAACGACCTGCTGTTGGGATTTTCTGCATCCATGCCTGCAATGCATGTTCCTAAATCCTTACGAACATATGTCATTCCGCGTTCACATTTCTTTATCTCGACCTCTTTGCTTCATGACGATTAGAAATTTAGTAAATGATCGGAACGTAATTGTTATAGCCAAGTTGGAATCTTTGACTTGAGACCTATATGTCGAAGTGTTAGGAAGAAACGGCCGTCATATCGTCGGTAGGTGCTTAGATCACCGAAATATATTAAGGTATACCAAGTTTTCCAGCTAAGTGGCCTCTTTTTTTGCATTGATCTTTCACATGCAGTCAAAGTCAAGAAGCTGTAAGAGCAGGATGTTTTACCGAACACTTACTTTACTAGTCAGGGATGCGGATCAGAAAATGCAAAAATTCGCGAAATGATATAGTGATGACGCATTGCGCATAGTTTGTTCCTCTGATGATGGAAATGCTCGTAGCTTCCTTTCTTATCACTGAGGAAACAATGATATCAGCCAATGCATCTTGGACAGAGGTGTTGAATACTTCAATTCCTGTAATTGCAGGGTTCACTTGAGTGACATATGAGAGGCGGAATTTATAGGGACCATATCCGGATTTGCGGCCGCTGCACCCGGTGCAGCTAGCAGAAACACGTCAACTATGCATGTACTTGCAGGTGTACCTGCATCTGATGTTTGCTTCCCAATTTACTCAAATTGACGCATCGCGAGCAGTTCCAGCCAAGCAAGTTTCGAGACGTTATTTGTCCCCTAAGATTAATTTCCAGTTTGATTGAAGGTCCAACATTTATCAGCAATACACGCAGTTCCTGAGTAGAAATAGGGCTGGCATGAAAAGTTGTTCCCCAGTCATGTGAGTCATTGAATGGAAGGATGAAAGCTTGGAAAGCGAACCTCATGTTTACCTGACACATATTTTTCTCGTTGATCTAATCAGAGAGAGTTTTTTAACTCTAAAATGGCGCCATGATATATGAAGACGAGAAAGCAAGTTTAGTTTCAAAGATGTGGTCTATATTCCCTCATGGTCTATCAGTTCCTCTTTTTGAGGTAGTTTCTCTTTCAATATGTGTCACACAATCCTCTAAAAAGGGCCCAAGTTTTCTCTAGATTGTTTTGTAATTCGACATGATAGTTCACTTGAGCATACAGATTGAACGAACAAACCAGATCAAATCACACCAAGCGTCTTAATTAGGTTCCATAATAGAAAGTGAGTTTCCATTACTATAGAAGTAACAAAAAAGTTGTCATATGTTTACTTCTCTGCATAATAAAAGTGAAATAATACCAAAAGTTGAAGTTGATAGTTTGCACTTAGCTTTTAAATTAATATTTAAACATTCATATCAAAATAAGTAATACACTCGTGTCTAGAAATTTTGTCAATGTTCAACAGTTGGATTTAGAAAATCGTAAAGAATCTATCATTGTTAATTTACATTTGCTATTTGCCTTTCAACAAAACTGCAACATGAGAAATCAATTTCAGAGATAATCAGACAATTAAATCATGTTGCTGATAGTTAAAATAAAATACAAATGATAAATTGATTTAATTCCATGATTTAAATAAAAATATTAATTTTTGAAGATTTTTCAATGACGATTCAATGTAAAAATTTGTTGTATATTATACAAACAATACTTCTAGTTAACCAAATCTTTACAGATGAAATCAAAATTTCAATTGATTTGTCAAAGTTTGATAGTGTACAATGACGATTATATATAATGATGAATGATAATGAGTAAATCAAAACAAAATTTAAATTTTGTTTGATGAAAATGTTTCAAAATGGATTTATTTATAAGCATAAATTAAATTACAAGAAAAACATACAAAATATTTACAAACAAAGCTATAATTAATCAAAACTTATAGTATTGTATAAGCATAATCTCGCATGCAAATGCTAACAAAATTTCTCATCTTTATTGAACTTAGTATTTTTGAATGTACTAATTAGAATTATATATTTCTTAATCTATATTCAAATCTTATTATTTAAAATAAAATAAATTTAGGATTTTCAATACATTAAGATATCAAAAATACATGTATATGAAAGAAGTTGTCAAAATGATATATTTGACATGTATATTAAACTTAAAAGAATTTCTTGAAGCTTAAGTCATAGTATTTGAAAATGTTTAAAATAAAATCAGATTTTAATATCAAACTTATAAAAAATATAATACTACTTAGATTCAAGTTAGCTTAAATGTTTTTACAAAAAAATTTAAAATAAAAGTTAAAATGTTATTGAAAAGAACAGCCAAAGACGCCGACAGATCAAAACTCAGATTTGAGCATACACAAAATATCAGCATAAATATAAATGTTTCAGCACTCTCACTAAGTTCATTGAACTCACAAAACCTGTGAAGATTCAAAGGCTAAGTCTTCTTCATGAGCTTTGGCTAACTTTACTCTATAGAGATAACATTACCTAAGTAGGGTTAAAATAGTTCACTTAAATACTCAAAAAATTAAATTTTTTTAACTTGTAATGATAATTTGTACTTATAAAAGAAAGCACAAAGATGATTGAAGAAATTAGTGAAAATTTGTAATAGTCACTGCAATGTTTTTTAAATAGGAAAATTTTTTTATTCAATATGATCAATTATTATGAAATAACTTATGTGATAAAAATCAAACATCTAAAACCTGTTTTTATTGTAAAATTTTAGCATTTCAATCTTGTTTTCATTTCTTATATAAATGAATAGTAAATTTTGTATTTTAGAAAATCTTAAGGAAAAGTCATAGACTAAAATTTTCTAATCATGAATGTATCAACACATAATAATAACTAAAAAAAATTAAATATGTTAAAATACTAACATCAATTCTTAAGAAATTTGAGAAACACTACTAGAATTTGGATGGATAAATTATCTGAAAAAACCTCTTAATAAAAAAGAGTATAAATTTTGTGAAGATTTTTATTTTGAATTGTTTGGCATGATTTTGAATTGAATCAAAGAGTAAGCAGTATTGTACTAAATATTGAAAAAGTATCCCATTTTTTTTGGAAAGTGAATGCATTCAAAATCGCAATGACAAAAGAAATATGCTTTATCTTTTTATGCAAGAGTCTGATGATATATAATCTGGAATTTTTTCAAAATTTAAAATATAATTTTAATGGAAATTAGGTTCTTGGAAGTAAAAAAAAATAAATTATTGAAAAGAAAATTTGAGAAATTTTTTTGGAATTACAATAACCTCTCGACTAAAATCTAGGTAAAATTTTCATAATGAAAAATATCAAATATTTAATCTTAGGAAAAACATTTTTTTGATTGATTAGATATTTTAAAAAGATACAAAAAATATATCGAATTTTTTTTAATAGAGATTGAATGTCTTAATTTTTCTAGCCTTTGATATACATATTATATCAATTTTTTTAATGCATTTTAGCTTTTTATAGAGAAAAATGAAAATTTTGGTATATAATATTACATTTTATGGATAAATTATTATAACCAGAAATTGTTGATTCACATTTTGAAAATAGAAGAAACACGAAAAAAAAATAGAAACCAGTTTTTCTATAATAAACGACATTAAGTTTTTTTTTTTATTCATAGGTTTGACCACAAGTTAAGTGATTCGATTGCAATGTTGTTCATACACGAATTTATGAATATATGTGCATATATATGACAATATCAATCATGCATACGTTGATATATTTTAACGCTATTGTCTCAGGATTTATAACATGTTATTTTGTACAAATTTCAAACCCACTTAAATGGCACCATCATCTCTTATAGTTTGAATAAGAATAAAACATGAGAGTATAGTAGAGCCAAAGACGTAATTCTTCAAATTTTTTATTCTTAGAAGAAATAATTCAAATTTGTTTCAGGAGTTTTCTCCTCACATCATTCCTTTCAATCTGTATGATAATGTCGTGTAATTAATGCTCATAATTCAATAGTATTTTATTCTTCTTCATAATGTCATATATTTGTATATAGTTAGTGAGGAATGTTAATTGATAAATCATGATCTGCTAAAGTCTCATATTTTACATTGTTAGTTAAAAATCGTTGAATGTGAATGAAATATTAATAAAAAAATTAGATATGAAGATTCTGCATTTAGGATAACTATGACATACCTGTATATTTTAAAATAAAATATAAATTTCAATATGATATAATGATTATGTTTTTGACATATGATAAGTGAAACCTAAAAAATTCATTAAAAATTTCATTAATCATCAGATTCATAGCCTTTTTTAGAATTTTAAGTCAACCGAAAAGTTTATATTCAATGTTAGATCAAATCCGTCCTTGAATCTTAGACTATTGAGTGTTCATTGTTATTATTTTATACAATGAACAGTCAATACTTTATACTATATATGTAGAATTACTGCTTGTAACTTTTGTGAATTTTGGTCGAATCATTTAGCACTAGAGGCTGCATAGATATGCCATTCAAACTTGATAACACACTGTAATACCAAATGGAGAAGTGGAGATGTTTAGTAAGATCTAAACCAAGTTAGAGGTGCAGCAGAAAGGATTCATTAATTTTTAGAACTAAGAGAGATAGATTTAATATTCGATCCATATTGGTAAAAGTTTTAACAAAGATATCAAAGGTGGAGTAGCATTTGTTGGGTTTATGGAGCATGGTTCTACAGATTTCGGTGTTATGGTTTTCTGTTGTTGTTATTATCTTATTCAACTTGGTCAATTAATAGATACTTGGTGATTCATCATGTTTGAAAAGTCTGGTGATTTTGCGTTCATCATATTGCACTTTCAAAGATTAAATGGTATTAGAAATATTGCCTCGTGATAAACTTTCAGGTTCAGGAGGAGAGTTAAAGATATGAGGACCAGCTTCGATCATGTCACATGTTAAGATTAAGTTCCCGATTTCGTTGGTTCCATTATATCAAATCCATTCCAAATTGAATGTTGCACTCTGCCATAGCAGTGTATATTTCAATTCTAACCTGTTCAGATATACAGGAATAGTTCGAAGGAAGGTAGCAGACTAGTTGACGGGTAACACTATCTCACACAGTAGAATCAATTAGGTTCAGCTTCCACTCTTACATCTTAGATGAACTGGAGAATTTGGCATTTTCCAGATGCTTGAATTAACTGAATGCTGGGCTTCGAGCACGTAATGTTTGTCGTCTCTCTTAAGCATACAATCACTTTATTGCAAGGTATGGATGACACTCGGCTTAAGAATTTAAGAATTTAACCCTCCTTACTGCAAGACTATGGCCATTGTCATGAAGCACACTCATGGAATGGAACTACATCACATTCAAATTCCTGTACGATGGTGCATACGCCTGGCTTTGAGAAAATGGGAAATCACACAACATAGCAGATGAAATCAAATCATTGTTTCTTTCCTCATTCTTGATGGCCCCAGTTCAATCGCCTTCAGCGCATCTAATCTTCTTGTATTTCAGGCACTTGGGTTGTCTAGAGACCATAAACATAGCCAATGAGTTATACGAGGAAGCAGGTTGTTTCCGCATCATGGTTACACGGTACATCGTTTCAACGTTTTGCAAGGAACCTAGGAACGTCAATGATGATTAGCAAAACTTCGCTCCAGTTGACTACATTTCGACGGAAGTTCACGATACGAAGGGCACGGACCAAGCGGAGTACTGCTTCAGCGAGGAGCAGAGAATACTGCTTTGCAGAACGGAGAGAACACAGCAATTTTGTTTAGGGATTGCACTGTGTGCAGCGTTAAAATAGCAAATGCGACACATGCATGCAACACCTACAAAAAGCGCATGCTCAGCAAATACAACAAAATGGGGACGGAGTTCCTGGCGCACTACACAGCCTTATCGACAGCATCGGAAGTCAGAGAAACATGATGGTGATAGGCAGTTGTACTTGGCGGTCCTATATTCAGAAAAGCAGAATGTGTTCGCGAGGGATTCCTCGGTCACAACAACTAAAATTCCAGTGGGCCACATGAATCCTCGATCCAACCCAAAGGCTGCGGAAAGCGCATCAGCTCGTCCTCGCAGGACCGAATGCCACGTTCGGGTGTCCGTCCTGCCGCTGCTGCAAACCCTAACTTAGTCTAGAGACCAGCCACTCCAGGGCTGTGTCCGGGCGTCTACCAGTTTGGCTGGAGAGAGAAATGGCGGGCCAGCGTGCCCTAAGGACATCCGGGCCAGCCGGGTTTGGCCGAGGCGCGGAAGTAACCGGGGCGGGGCGACGTGGGCCATTCGAGCATCGACAGTAGGCCCGGCCACAGGCAGAGCACGGGCCGGGCGGAGGAAGCGGGCCCGCCTGGGGAGACGCGACGGACGAATGTTTTTGAATGGGACTGAGCCGGGGCTTAACAGAGCGGGTCGGCAGTCCGGGCCCAATCAACAGGGATGGACTGGGATCCCGGGTGTCGGCACCGAGGCCCTCCTCGAGGGGAGGGGAGGGGCTCAAGGGACAACGGGACGTGTTCGGAGCCCTGTTTCCCAGGACAATGTCATATGGTTGGAGGAATGGCGGGCCGGGCGAAGGCAGCGGGCGCGGGCGAGGCCGAGGCCGAGGGCAGCCAGTGAGCCCTGATTGGACCCAGTCGGTGAATGGAACGTAAGAGGAGGAGGAACAGAACAAAAGAAATGGAGGCCGAGGGAGAAAGGGAGGGAATAGAGAAGAGCGAGAGGAGAGAGGTTAACTAGAGGAGGTCCAGGCAGCAGCTAGAGGAGCTGGCTCTGGCTCTGGCTCTGGCCCTGGCCCTGGCCTCGTCCTCTTGCCTCGCTGCCTTCTTTTGCTGCAGGTGCTCGCCCTCGCTCTCGCTCTCCTCCTCCTCTAGCTCCTTTCCTTTCCTTTCCTTTCCTCTCATCTCGCAGCGCAGCGAGATTAATCGGTCCATCCATCCTCCATCCAGATATTTTACTCCTCCACCAAAATACTCCCACCGATCCTCGTTCCCCAGCGTACTGTCTCTCGATCTGCCTCGTCGCGGATTGGGGTTGATTTCTGACCATCTGCAAGCAGGCGAATTGCCGGTGCTTGCGTTGCGGATTTTGTGGTGGCTTTGGGAAGGAGGTGTCTTTCAATTTTCTTCCCTCTTTCGTGGTTGTTTTCTCCTTCTTTCCCGAGAGAGAAAGGGAGAGGGAGAGAGGGAGAGAAGGAGAGGGACGTAGAGAGAGAGAGAGAGAGAGAGAGGGAGGGAGGGAGAGAGAGAGAGAGACACGGAGGGAGAGGGAGTGTGCGTCTAGACGTCTGTCTTCCCGAGGCTGGCCTCGACTTGTGTGTGTGTGCATGCGTCTGTCTGCTCGTAGACGAGAGGAGGGAAGGGAAGGGAAGCGTGGGGAGGGAGGAAGGACAGCAGTGTGGTGTCTATAGATTTTGGTATTAGGTCGCTAGGGTAAGGTGAAGGGGACATGCGAGCAAGGAGGGGTTTAGAGTGAGAGAGCGGGAAGGTAAAGAGGCGCAAATGGAAGAGGGCAAGCATGGGCACGAGAGAAAGTCGTAATGACAGGTGCTGTGGGAACTGACGAGGTGAAGCCGAACAACGCTAGAGGATTAAGACAGAATTTTGAGTCGGACGCGAAATTGTTGCGAGGTTGTTGCGTTCAAGCAGCCATGGTCTGGAATCTGGGAGCTTAGTCGCTCAGTAGTGTATCTCTCTATATTACACGTGATCATGTGAAATGTCTGCAGCCGGCGACGATCTGATTCTATGATATGCAGAGCAGAGTAGAGGTAAACTAGTCACAGGTGTGTGGAAACCCATTTGCGGCAAGAGCTGTCTTCGTAGTGTTTGCACTGAGCTTCAAGAGTGATGCTGTAGTTTAGGCGGTAGGTTGTTGGTGCACGGGGAGGCAACGAGCAGGGGACGAACTGGTTGTCTTTCATAGAAACCTGCGGAATCGCATTCAGGGCAGGCTGGCAAGGCTGGCGGGCGTCTGATGGCGGATCCGCCGGTTGGCTCATTCACTCCTGTTCTGAGCTCGCATGAGTCCCAGAGGAATCAGCTAGAGACGCATTACAGCGAGTGTGCAAGAAGGTTCGAGCAGAAGAGGATAGAATACAGAGAAACTGTGGAGGGGAAAGCATGCTGAGTGTGCTGCGAGTGCATCTGCCATCGGACATCCCGATTGCGGGCTGCGAGCTGTCGCCTTACGTGCTGCTCCGCCGCCCTGATAGCAGCGTCACAACAGATGACATTCCGGATCAAGCCCCCGTTGATGGCTTTTATCTTCGCTGTCGATGGTACTTTCAAACTCATATTTTTCCGTTCAGCTTGTGTTTGCAAGTTTGTGAAACCAATCCATGAAGATGTATTCTGGGCAAACTGCTCCCTGCGCTATTATCGCGACTGTTTTCCACTTCTGCATGTTCCGCGGATCTTGTTGAGGTTCCTCCGTCGGTGTGGTCAAGTCTATGGTGTTTAGGGTTTCGGAAAACTCCTTGGCAACTCATATGGGTCTTCGGGCCCGAGCAAGGTGGAGGATTCGAACCGAAGCTCAGCACGCCGTCTTACTTAGAGCGTTTTTGTTAGTTCAACAACAGTTCAAATTTAGGTTTTCTGGTATGTTGCTTACTTTGATTGCTGTGCCGTTTATGGAATCATCTCTGCAGTTGGTATACGTGTAAGTCGACGAATTTCTACCTGTGCTATATAATCAATCAAAGCGCCTGTGTCCTTATGGTGTACACGCAGATACTAAAATTCTTTTCTCGCACAACGAGAAGCTCTAGGTCAAACATCCATGAGATATGTAGATTATATTTTGTGTGTATGAACGAAATATAGCACATTCTGCACAATCTAGTAGTACTTATTTGCGAGTATGTCGTTTGAATTGATACTCCTATTTAGAGACCCGAAGTTTTCCGACATTATTCAGTCCCAGCCAATCGTTTAGCAAACTGCCAATGTGAAGTGTTTTTTGTTACAATATTGTGGTCGGTGTGTGCTTGCTTCTTATTCGTTCTCTATGGGCAATCTATCTCCACCGTAGTGCTGGCTTTCTGTTGTTGGATTTTCTGAGCGTAGCACTGAGAATGATTATCTTTTTCTAGTATCCTCTGTCCAAGAGACACGTGTTTCGTTGACATTTTTTTTTGTATGCTCTCTTGAACTTTAGCTTACTGCACTAGGAGATTCCTGGTGGAACACGAAAGTTGAACTTAGTGTTGACTGTCATGTTCGATGTTCTTTTACTGCATCTGTTCGAAATGTTTTATGTCTTCATGCAAAACATACAGCCCACCGCGCTTGTGTACGACCTGTACTCATGCAATTTTCCCTCAAGGTGGGAAAGAATTTGTCATGCTTTTGCCAATAGAAATGCTTTTGATTTTCTGGTTAGCAGATGGTCCAGTTTGGAACTTCAAACGGAAGTTCTTCACCTCCTTGTGTTTCTCAAGGCTTTTGCCGAATACGATGTCATCTGGTCGTGTCCCTTACTTTCCCCTCATCAATCGTCTGACCACGCAGGTATCGCATCCAAAGTGATAAGAGGGTGGCCGTATGCAGTGTCCACCCTTCAGAACCTGCAACATTGCAGTGCTTGGGATGTGTCAAGGCAAAGCTAGCGGTGAGCAAGAGTTATCATTGCTCACCAAAATGTTTTGCCGATTCATGGCGACATCATCGGACCATGCATCAGCGGGCAATAGCAGCTGCTCGTGAGAATGGCACTGAGGAGGATGAGTTGTACGGCAGACTCAACCATACGTCCGCTGCCGTTCTTGGAACCGGTGGATCAATTGGTTCCATTCACGGCAGCGCAGGAGTCGTGTCGCTATCCCACGCATTGAGCAATGGCACATCTTATGCTAGTCCAGCACGGATAGGGGACCCTAGTGGCGGTGGTGGGGAGACATGGTACGAAGTTGGACGGGGTAAAACGTACACTCCTACAGTAGATGATGTGGGACACGTTTTGAAATTCGAATGTGTAGCCGTGGATGCAAGCACCGGGATGGGTGTTGCTCCCGCCAGCACTGTGCTGACCTCACGGGTCATACCAGCTCCGTCACCAACACCACGTCGGCTGATTTCTGCAAACTCTGTTGATGGGGCAGCAGTTGACATAGAGAACCGTACGACGGCGGCGGGTACTTTTACAGTGTTGTCATATAACGTGTTGGCAGATTTGTATGCCAAGAGTGACATGTACAGCTATTGCCCTCCCTGGGCACTTTCTTGGGCATATCGCAGGCAGAATCTGCTACGGGAGGTGATTGGTTATCGAGCTGACATTCTCTGCCTGCAAGAGGTATGTGATATCAAACTTCGGGTTCATGGAATGAAATGGGTACAAGTTTGTTTTCAGCAAAGAAGTAGGTTTCCTGTCCAAGGTAGAGAATGAATGCTATCCGCTGACGACCTTCATATCCCATTTTGTTTTCACACGTACACTGCTCTCATCACTTTCTGACTTTCGGTTCCAACGAAAGTCAGAAAGTGTCTTGCACGAGAATTGACGATGATGTCTTGATGTCTGGTTATAGGTGCAAAGTGATCACTTCGAGGAGTTTTTTGCCCCTGAATTGGAAAAGCATGGTTACGCTGCTGTATATAAGAAGAAGACCGCTGAGGTTCATCTCACACCGCTCTTAGCACAGAAGAGTTGCAGGTGTATTAGTCTCTTTCCAGGATTTGGTGTAGTAGGATTTCCAGAGACAGGTATGAGCGTTCTGTTTTGGCGCGCATTAGTACTCACGAGGTACGTGTCATTTGCTGTGTTATAGTCTCTATTGATCAGTATCCTTTTCTTCAGGTTTACACGGGTACTGCCTACGCAATCGATGGATGTGCAACTTTCTTCAGGCGCGATCGATTCTCACTAGTAAAGAAATACGAGGTACTTGCACGTGGCAGCATGATTGAGAAGTGTTATTTACCTTTTCCTAAGAATACGTTATTGTAGGAAAGAAAGTGGTTGCGTTGAGGATGCTAAGGTCTGTGTTCTGAAGCTTACTGGATATCTCTCTGTTTTCTTGCTTCGACTTAGGTGGAGTTCAACAAAGCTGCGCAATCCTTAACTGAGGCCCTTGTACCCACGACTAAGAAGGCAGCCCTCAGTCGCCTACTGAAGGTTCGCTCATCTAACTAGTGCATTTTTACGGAAAAGTATTTATGCCATTTCTCACTACTAATGGCCGATGTCCTCATGTCTATGTACGTATCGTGATCTAAACATATCTGATGTATCACCTGTTTGATCTAATGATCATTTTAGTGTCCTTGCAACTTGAGGACTACGTCCGGTCTTTCGCTAGCCTCATCATGTACTATCATTGTCCCCATATGCCAGGACAATGTGGCTCTCATAGTGGTCCTGGAAGCGCGTGAGAATGTCCATGGTGGAGATTCGCCTTCCTCAACGAAGCGACAGCTGCTTTGCGTGGTGAGTCAGTTGAACAAAGTTCTCCCTGCTCTTCTTTTTCGAACAGAAGGTTTCTGAAGAGAAGGTTTCTGAATTATGTGGCAGATTTTGTGCTACATTTTGATTTTGCCTTTCAGCCGCCTAAGAGCTTTTTGTGCGGTTTGGTTTATGTGGTTAGTTCACGTAGCGAAATCGAGTCAGTGTGATTTTTCAGGTCTAGTCTTTAATTACACTATGATTCTTTTGATTACATTCGTTTGTTTAGTATCTTGATGAGGAGGATGGACCTATTCTTCGTACTTTGAATGCCCGGGATTAGATCCTGTTCTTCGAATTTATGTATGTGTTGTGGGTTTACAGGCTAACACTCATATACACGCCAACCCAGAGCTTAAGGACGTGAAGCTTTGGCAGGTGATTTTCGTTAACCAAAACATCTCTAATTTTTTTCTATCATCATTGCCCTTCTTACACTTAAAGCTCGAATTGCGCATATCTCGAATTTTCATGAAGCAGCAGTTCTTACACCAAGTTAGTCTTGTTCGCAAAATGTCGATGTTTCTGTTTGTATTGAGGAACTAGAGATCTTTGCAAGCTACGAACGCTGAGTACATATTTGTTCCTCACTCAGGTGCACACGCTTCTCAAAGGATTGGAAAAAATTGCAGCTAGTGCTGACATTCCGATGTTGGTCGCTGGCGACTTCAACTCAGTACCGGGAAGGTTCGTATTCCGAGTTTGTCCTTGTTACTGCTTCAAGCGTACCAGCTGGATTCTTCATAAAGGAAAGCGGAATCAAAATTTTGCGTAATGATGTTGTTTATCTTGCAGTGCGCCCCATGCATTGCTTGCATCGGGTAGGGTAGAGGCAAGTCATCCAGAATTGGCAACAGACCCTCTTGGGATTTTGCGTCCTTTCAGCAAATTGTGTCATCAATTGCCTTTGGTAAGATTTTACTACCTTGTCAGTTTCGCCTGCCTAGAGGAGACCGCTGGATATCATTTCAAAGCAGCGCAATAGGCGTTTAGGGTTTGACTCAAAATTGAATTTAGTGGATCCTCGCGTTTTTGCTGAAGAGAATGACCTTTTGGGATCCAGGTGAGCGCTTATTCCGCATTCGCTAGAATGGGTGGTGCTGAGCGGCAGCGGCGGCGAATAGATACCGGGAGCAATGAACCTCTTTTTACGAACTGCACCCGCGATTTTCTGGGCACTCTTGATTACATCTTTTACACTGGTGAGATACTTTTCTAATCTATCCTGGAATTGTGGCACTTCATGTTTATTTTGATTGCCTCAATCTAGTAATGACTGCTGACTTTTATGAAGGCCTTAAGCAGTTGAGTCAGTTTAACAGAGTTTTGAGTTCATCTATGGCGCCTGAATGTTTGGATCAATATATGACCGAAGCCAATTTTTTTGCCCTTGATGTATACATACCTTACCACTCCGATCTTTCTCCTTAATAAGCCTTCACTCCTATTGCTGTTTACATGGTCTAGAAATTCCGAAGCTTGTCTTGAGCCCTATTTATTTTCTTTTCCTGAGCAGCGGATTCATTGGCGGTGGAGTCGTTGCTCGAGCTACTAGACGAGGAAAGTCTGCGAAAGGACACTGCACTTCCCTCGCCTGAATGGTCTTCAGACCACATAGCCTTACTCGCGGAGTTCCGATGTAAGTATAATGTCTCTTTGACTTCAAAAGAGCTTGACGACGCCTTGGACCTTAATAGTAAGTTTCTTTGTTGTTAGTTTTATATTGCATCACCGTTTGGACTGCTTTCTTGTCCATTTTAGGAATCAGCAAACTGACTAGTCTTTGGTCACAAAGTTGTAAGTTTTTTCATGGGGAGTTGTTTGGAAGTATGATGTCTCCATGATGTACCTTTTTTGGACATCATTTCACTAATTGAAGGCAGACATGACGAGCCCGGAACTAATTATGGTGATTGCCCTCTCACGAGTGCATGCTTATGTGCTCGTTAGACTCTTCAAAAGAGGTGGCCAAGCCGTGGACTCGAGTGCGATTGAAATAGTGCTCTGTCGAAAGTATACCCTAATATTCATCTAGGAAGTGCTCGTGGATGTCAACAGGGATTGCATTATTTTCATTCTGCAATCTAGTATGATCGTTTAGGATATCAGTTCATGGCGCGATTGTGAAACTAGTACCAGGGTGGCGTAAGTCCACAGCAGACTCTAACCGGTGTTATCTTCCATCAGAGCAACAATCAACATCACTCTAGGTCATGGTCGTCGAGCTTATCCAATTCGAAAAGCGTTCAGGATATATCTAGGCCCTGACAGTAGAATCGTTGAGTAGAATCTCTTGATTCTCCTTCATTATCGATATGTTTGACGCTAGCAATTTTAACTTCGGTAACCTTAAAGTATGTTTCAGTTTTATGCTTCAGATGCGTTGCTCCCCTTGTACTGTGAACTGCTTATCGTTCTCCGTCATGCACGATTTGTGACTGTTGACGTTCGTTGATTTGAATTGGCTGTGATTTTCAAGCGTCGTTCACCGTCACCATTTCTTGCTGATGCCTGTCGACTTCAGGAAATATTCTTCGTGGACGCTTATACAACGCTGTTGCTTCGGCTTTTTTGAATCAATTTGGCATCGTTATTAACGTGGGACCTGTTACTTACATTACAACGTCAATGTTCCGCTATACCGTTTCATCTTTCACAGCTCCCAACTCTCTTACTGAGTACCGTATCCGATCTTGCTCTGTAGAGATGCTCTCATGCAAGGGCATGAAAGCTAATTATTGATGAGTTATAATTAGTGAAGTCTTCGACTAAGTACGCCTCACTAATGACACTTCGTTATCAGTTTCTGAGCGAAGAGTTGTTTTCTACTGGAAGAAATTGTAAGTCTGATTTCTTCCACACGGTGCCTAAACGTTTGTAGCTGACATACGTAGCAAAGGTTTCATAGACGTTGTAGGAGCTCCATGTGATGAGCTATTAAAGATTGATTTAGTGGCATCGCGTATTTAATAATACTCTGGAATATCTTGTTTTAGTAGGAGTTTATGATAAGGATATGATGAAGTTCATGAATAAGTAATTTGCGTTTCTCGCGAAGCGCCCGGGGTTCATGGAGGCTCGAGAAAAGACAATATTTTAATTACAAGGCCAACCATGTGTGCGGTTTTTTTGGGGGTAGAGAAATATGTGGAGCAAGTTTCACTGAAGTATCGTCTGGTTGTGTTATAACATGCTTCAAATGTTGAAAAGACAAAGTGAAGTTGTTCAATAGGTTGAATCGAACCATCTGAGTTGCAGTCGGAGGGAACTTCTCCTCTACGGGCCCTCTAAGGGCCTTGTAATTAGACTGACTAGATGTGACATCTGGAAAGAGATGCTGATAATCCATAGTGTGTTTCTATCTAGTTCATGACCCCGTCGTTTATTGAACCAACCAATAATACCACGTGTGTATGAGACAGTGATTAAGACTACAAACTAGGAACATCTGTTTCATTGTGATGGTGTTTCACTATACAAGCGAGGTTTACCGCGTGAGACATCATGGCCAGTAGTTGTTGTACGAACAAGTTTTGAAGGGAGTTTACATCGTGCTCGTCAACATATTCCTTCCCTCCCATTTAGAGTTATACTATCTTCTTTAAACCTACCGCCGACTAATTTAATACGGATGTTTTCAATGATCGTTTTAAGGACAGCTAGTTTTTTTACTGGATTTTTACACCACGGAACTCCTTGAAAAAAGAATATGTGCTTGTAGGCCGTGTATTTTGACATATGTTTAGCAAGATCTTATTCATTGACGTTAATTTTTAACTAATCTGTAACACTTTCGGTCAAGTTGTGTCACAACTTTTCCGAGAACGGATTTATTGGTTCATATATGTATATCCAGTTACCATCAATTTGCTTACTTTTTTGTGACTGCATTCATGTTAACTGTCTATTCTGTACACATTATTTTGTCTTCGTTTTTGAGGGAGTGGTTGTTTGCCTGCTACAGTGATCTTTTCGTCTTTAAGACCTATGATTACATATATGTGTGAGAGCATTATTGTCGGAATGTTATGAAGAGGAACTCACCTAGATAGACATCTCCTGATATTTGTTGGGATGACGGGAATGAGCATTGTTCATGCTGTTGAGTTTTTCTGCCTGTTTTTCTCTATTCTCAACGAACACTGGTAAAAAAAAAGCTCATAATGGTTGTTGCGGATGGAGCTGTGGTTGTACTTTCGATACCTGGTGTCTTTATTTGATGAAATTGAGCTTCAAATGTTATGGCTCAGAGATTTATGGGCCAAAGAAACTCCTGTTACTATACCACGGTATATGACTTTCTTACAAATCATGTTCGGCGTTTTAAACTCAAGGGGTCAGTGTTACACTTACGCTAGGTGGATCTCTCATCACCGGAGAAGTAACATCTATAGTTTGAAAAAGTATATTTCAATTCGGTTGGTTCCTGATGTAGTAACTAGTAGGAATTGACATTGAGGAACGTTTCAAAGTGAATGAGATTTTTACTTTCTTTGAAAGCCGGAATTGTCCTATCTAAGAGTCTAACTTGTCCGTATCTATCTAGGTGAAGCTAGGCACGTATGCCGCAGTCCTTAGGTTGCGGTTGAGGTCTTGTGTCAGTCCTTCAGCAGATTAATTGGTAGTTAAGGAAGTGAGACATGCGTATACGTCGTATCATGGATATTTTGTTACAATGGTCTTCGTGTCTTGACATCTGTTTATACTTCAGCTGAGTTGGGTCAAAATACTGCAAGTGCCTACTTTGTTGCTTTAATTACCCATTCTTCCTCTGTAAGTCGGGTTGTCGTTGGGGTGGAGGAGTGTTTGCCTAATTGACAGTATTGTTGTGCACTTTTTGGAGAGGTTCTTGTTTCTCTAAGTTTTCAATGGAACAAAAGCTCCAGATTCAACCGTTATAGAGCGTGAATTACTCCCTGTACTGTATCGTCGACTCCGGGACCCATGATTTCTGATGCTGGTTTCACCTTCGACTTGAATTTTTGTCGGGTTTGTTTTTGGTTTGACTTTTAGACTGAATCTTGCCTTTTGGGTTAAAACTCGGTGGCGTCACGACATGATGCATTCTGACTACTTGAGAACTAAGGATTTGCCATCCTCACTGGGATGTTGTCTTCGGTGCGTTCAGTAAGAGCGAGGATTTTCCTGAACATGTGCTGACTTGGTTTACAATTTGTTGTTTATACAGATCAGTGATATTTCTGGCGTCTTTTGATGGAAGATGCAGCCGTGTTGTCCGAACTGAATGGAAGATCTTATCAATCATTCTTCCACATGAGATCTCATGAGGTGTGGACTACAGAAGGCGTTTTGATATTTTCCTCTTGAGCAAGATCAAGTCTAGAATTTGAGGAGAACTTTCAGAAGCTTCTTGACATGTGATTCCCACTTGTAAGCACAGCACAGCTGATGGTTCTCATAATGAGTTCGATTTCACAAGAGATCTCTCAGTCATGGATATAAGTCCCTTGCCTGTTATCTTGATAGTTGATAAAAGAGGTTTGATGGAGAGGATATTATTCAGATGGGCAGTGGACAGTGATTGAGGTTTTAGAGGTGAAATATTTTTTCAAGTTTGGTACATAGGTGGATATAAGCCTTGACCTGAAGCAAGCAAGTATGCAGGGTTTGTTTACATGGAGGATGCAAATAGTTTCTCCATGCAGAAAGCAGCAGCTTAGATGAGATGTACACTCCAATTTTTACAGTCAGTAGTTTTGTGTCAGATTTCAATAAAGCCCTGTGATCTCTCGTTGTAGACGATAGGAGCTGCGTTTGAGGATGAGGATGTCCGTACCACTCTTGTCTCAACTTGTGGATCAGTGTTCATATTTTTGACAGTCATACCCAGATGCTGACGGTAGTTGTGTACTCGACTGCACCGTGATTTGCTTTCTCGTATCTATCCGACTGCAGATACCAGATGTAGTTGTGGGACTGCAGTTTTACATGTTGGGCTTTTGTGGAATGAACTTGTTGAGGGTTTGAAGCAGCAGGAATACCAACGTCGATGCCGTCGACCAGTAGTAGTAATAGTGGACTGTCATATGTTAATGTGGGCGAAGGCTTGTATGTGTTGAATTGCAAGCTTGGTATCTAGCATCAGGTGCTTGCTGTATCTGACAGTATGATAAAAGCTCTTGCTGTTGCCCATGTGTTTATTCGTGTAGATGTTAAAAGCGGAAGCTGATGATAGCGGTGTGTCTTTTCTGACAGTTGTGGTGTTGTTTACCTCAAGGGCTTTATAATGATGGATTCTCATGCGCACAGGATTGTCACACTGGGAAGTGTAATGGCACTTGTTGGCTAAAGAGTAGACAGTGTTTCTTACACTCAAACCACCGCCAAAGATGTGAAGGTATTGTGTAATCTTTCTAGAGCGTCGTGGACTCGTGAATAGTTCGAATCTTGGTCAATAGATTCGTGAAGTTCATGTCAGCAGATTTTCCTTTTACAGTGTTTTCTTCAGGGATGAATGGGTGTGTTGTTTGATTTTATTCGATGGTCATATGTTTCAGCTTGGTGGGACATTGATTTGACAATTAAAGTGCGGCATCGTAGTGATGGTCGGCTTCGTTTGTCGGACGTTGAGTTCAACTAAGGAGTCGGTGGGAGAACTCAGTTGTGAAGAATCTGTTGCCTTTAGATTGAACTGAGTTATTTTTTGATCGTCAACACCTTAATCAGTTTGGGTTACCATAACCAGAAGCTGGTTGTTCTTGCCAGTTCTAGACTCGAATCAAGAATGAAATTGATCTTGTACATCACATATTTGGATGATGAATATATGAAGGCACGCATTGTCCACAGACCATGCATGAACTAAGGGAGTCTGGTCTGATCACAGTCAACGCATGAACTAAGGGCGTCTGGTCTGATCACAGTCAATCAAGGCAAATGCCGCGTCATGAGATTCGCAGCATGAGACTTATTTTGGAACAGATTCGTGCTACCGAGTACACTAATAATGGAATAAACAAGTCATTTAAACGTTAACGTATACAACTGTACGTTGATGTTAACAAATTTGAATGTACGGGGTAGATATTTTGATAATGATCAAAGTCGGCATTGGGCGAATGATTGTTCGTGCATCGACTAGCAGAAAAAGGTTGGCGAGGCAAAAGCCAACAATACGTTGGAAAGCTTAAGAGGGAGTTGAGAACGGCAGGGGCAGATTATGGTGTTCTGGACTTGAGAACTGCGAATTGGATTGTGAAAGGAAAGTGCACTCAAGGGGAGGGTATGTCGGGTAACGGAGAACATGATAGTATAATTCTCCGCTACTCAAACAGGCAGCTCTTACATGACAGTGAGAATTTTGTTTACTTTTGTTGACGCCCATCGGTACACAATTTTGAAAATGAAATGTGGAGTCTAATCCTCTACCAAAAGGTGACGGAAACTTAAGGTTTACTTCGTAGAGACAGTCAACCGATATCTAGATAACACCTGGTAAGGAGAATATGTGGCTCAGGACGTTCGTAGAATGAATTATATGAGGAAATTGGTTCGCCTATAAGGCAAGATAAACATAGTCAGATGAACAAATCAATCGGGAACAAGTCCAAACAAGGAGAAACGGAGTAGAAAACAGTGGCGAGAGAAAGACAGGGATTAGACAAGAAAACGTGTGTACGAAAAGTGTACGTAGAAAAAGAGAAAAACAATAACAAGAAGGTGAAAATTATATGAAAAAGGAGGGCAAGACTCGTCAAGTCATAAATAGAGGATACCAAAAAAGGTGAAAGGGGCTAGCCATAATAAACAGCATGGTGAGAAATATGTCATAATGCACCAAGAATTTGTAAAGTTCAAGTGTATTGATAAAATCGTCAACATCGTATCCTAGCGTATGTGCTGGTTGGAAATTAGCATGTATTTACTGCTACACATCTATCTATAGCGTTGACACCTATGTGCATTCTGACATATTCGTTGTATTCGTCGGATTGCATCACATCTGTGGAATTTCTCTAATAGCATCTAACTTTGATTGTTGAACCCCCAAGCCACCAAGATAGATAACATGTACCAAGTATTCAACATGCTATTGGAAAAATTCGCATTTTTCAAGATGCAGCTTCAACTCATGTGCAATTAGGAGCTCAAACATTTTCTTTAGGTGCTGCCCATGCTCCTCCACTGAGTCACTTCATCATAATGTCATCTTTATAACACCTCACACAATGTAAATCAAGAAGTATCTTCTCCATCACCCCTTAAAACTCAGCAAGTGCAATCTTCAATACCAAGGGCAGGAGCTTATCATGACCTTCGCATGACCAATAATATCAAAAATCTCCTCTAGAGTGGACATGACATAACGATCTTACTTGGTATGCTTGTTGATAGGGCGGAAATTTCCGCATAACCGACTTTGAGACCAATTGCCATACACATATTTCTTGGATGTCATTGCAGTAGCTGAAGCATATTCACCATTTGACTTTTTCACCGGTCTTGTTTAAAAAAAATCTTTGCATCTAGTTTGTATCAAGGCCCGTTCCATGTGTGAATACCTAAAGGACCGCTGGAAGATTATGTATTAACTACTAATAATCGGTCACTTCAGCTAACCTAAACCTGCCATACAAAAAGCAAAACATCTACAATAATTTTGTAGAAAATGCCTTATCTCTACATATGTGAGCTTAGATGCTATATTTTGACTATCCTATACTAGAAAAAATAACATGAGGGCTTGGGAACACACTCATACATTAAAACACAACCGGCTTTTGCAGAGGGACTCAGTAAGTCTCAACTTCATAGATGTTGTCCGACATGCTGCGGTGGCTGAGGTGTATCCTATGGACCTCATCTTGATCTTACATCCTAAACCAAAAGAACCATACAACCCCAACTCTCTCATCAACTACTAATATAGACGGTTGGATCTGTCAGTCTCAGATATTGACAGACGTTAGCAGTCTTCTCTAGATGTTGACACTTTTTGCCATCTTACTAATCTGCAATTCATCTATTTTTACAAGGTCAAGATAATCACAATCTTAACTTGGAATGACATGACATCTTGCTCAAACTGGATCATTTTTAATTTGTGTTGTTCTAAACATAACTCTTCGTAATAGATAAACATAACATTCATCAATTTTGACTATATCAATTGTACTTTCTTACTATGCATAAAATGAATCTAGTTTTGTTCAATTTGAGGTATGTTAAACTAAATACTGTTATCCACCAATGAAAAAATCTCATCAATAAAAGAAAACTAGATTTAATTTTGATACTTAAGACAAACTATTTATTTTAGTCTAATAAAAAGATGAAGCACAAAATAATATTTTAGTCTATTGGAAATAATATGATATATCATGTGAGTACATATTTTTCAAACGCATTTTTTTGTTTTATCAAAAATTTCAGAAGATTAATAAATTGCAATTCATACTAGATTAACATCCTCTAACTCTCAGTTCAAAATATCTATACAAAAATTTATTAAGTGCGAAATATCTCAAGGATTGTTAATAGCATCAAATTGTTTAAATCATTATCAAATTTTATAAACATAAATGTGTATCTTAATGTGTTTACATTTGAGCTTCATTTGTATGTTATTTTAGTAAATCAGAAACTGATTGAGCAAAAAAGTAGAGGCAGTAGGTACATTCCTAGTAAGGGCTCGTAGACCAATGACAGAAGCAAGCCAGAAGATCTTCTTGATATTCATCTTAATTCACATATATTCATCTTCTATAGGATGTTTGATTTGCAAATTGTCTAAATATTAAATTCAAGCTAAATGAACTTTTGCCAATGATAAATTTCAACTACTCTCTTGCCATCTTTTCATTCTCACTAATTTTAATCTAATTTGATTTTTTATCACTGTTGACTTTGTCATCATTTTTTGGCAAAAGTTAAATCTTTTGGCACATTGGAATCATATGAGATTCATCATTTGAAGATGATAATCAAATCTTACAATCTTAATGACATGGAGTTTATTTTTTATGCCATTAGGTCATATTTTGAAATAATATTGAACAAAATGAAGGAAATATAAATATATAAGTATAAAGATTTGATACAATGTGGTCCAAAGAGCTAACGCAAAAAAAATAATTCACATTTATGTCCATTAGTTTTCTAAATGCAAAGTTCATCAGATTTTTGAAAAAAATGATATTTGATCCAACTAATCATCAATCATTTATATTGCTTAAGTCTTATTTCCAAGATATGTAAAATGTTGCAATTTAAGATGCATATTAATAACTTGACTTAATTTGTATTTTCTTTAAAAAATTCAGAGTATAAAATTTCACTTATGCTTTTGTAGAACAGAAGTAAATTTTATTGATTTAACTAATTACAATTAATTTAGTTGACATACTAGTTTTATTTAGAATTTCAAAAGCTCGCGATTTATCAAACAATAAAATAATATTTTTCTATTTGTCATTATTAACATCAAGTAAATTGCGTTGACACCATGATAAGAATTTATAAAACTTGTGTTTATGAACAATTAATAATATGTTTCAATCAACAAATCTCACAAGCAATATGACTTGATCAATAAAACAACAAACAAACATTCAATGCTAGTAACACATTGCAATTAATTCAACAAACATTCAACATTCTTCATGTCGGGAGTCTGTACACTCTTGGCGGAGAATGAAAGCAAGCAAAACATCATTCGCTAAACTCTAGTATGATCAATTCAAACTGTGTATTAAATGAATTTTCTTGTAATCTTATATTAATTATTGTGAGAAATGTCTAACATAAATTTCACGTAAACTACATGTATATATTAAAACTTGAGAATGATTACTAATGCTTTTCTTAAAATATCTTATTTTATGTGACTAAAAGCTTTGATGAACTTTTTTATAGAGTGGTAGATTGTTGAGTTTGAATTTGAACTATATAGAATTAATATATTAGAACTCTAACATGAATGAACTTCTAACATGCAACCATTTGATTTTCACCTCTTGAAGCCAATTTTAAGAATTGAACAAATATTTTTTGTAAATGTTGTTGATATAAAATAAATCGTCAAACTCCTTACTTTTGAAAATTGATATGTAATTTTTAAACTCACACATTGATTTTTAGTTTAGTTTAATTAATTGATAATAAATTTAAATTTAAATTATTTTAAAATTCACACTTATTTAAATTTATTTAGAAGACTATTTGATAGTTCATGATACAATGAAAATTTGAAGTTTCATATAAATGATCATAGTCAAATATAATTGAGCATTTTAATTTTTTCCTATCAAAGTAAATATTATAAGGAAAAAAGACATGATAATATAAAGAATTTATAATTATTTAATAATATTATATACGTCAGAAACATTTAATTGATCTAGTTAAGCTATTAAATAAATTCAAATATATATTTGGTAAGGTGTAAACATGACATTAAAGACTTAAAACTGTTGAAATTAATCTTGTTCTTAATGATATTGATACTTAAGTGCCATCAAAATGTTCTACTCATTGTCTTTGTAGAAAAAATTAAAACAAATTTTGTTTCTTAAATAAATAACTCAAAACTATAATGTAATTGGTATAATATAATTTAGGTTGTAATCGATAATACAAGACAAGATATTGATGAAAATCCATAATTTTAACAATATTTGTTTGTTTCTCTGCCAAGTATAAAATTGATTCTGAATCTTTAAACATAATCATGACTAAGATAACCACAATTATTTCTTCGGTAAATATTAAAACAATCAGAAGCATACAATTATGGGTCTTAAAGATCCATAACTGAGTATTTGGAAATGTTCGCTTCACAATGACTATTTGGTTTCCAACTCTATTCTTAGAATGTTGCAAATCTTGAAGCTTTTTAGATTCATTATCTTGACGTTGGACTAACTTCTGCAAGATCCAAATATCATCCATGTACAGAAGCCTCCCACTTAACTACGCACCCGTTTAGGTACGCATCTTAGTTAAGTACGCACTTTATAAGACAATTTTCAAGGATCAACATTTTCAGAAATTTCACATTCGAGACTAGACTACTGCACTGGGGCTAGGGAAGTCAAGCGAGAAAAATCTAACTATCAAGGGCGGGGTTGGACAAAATCCGAGATGCAAATATCTTGTTCCAATGATCTAGTCTTTTGCTTCTTCGTATCATGTGAGACCCGGGGAAAATGGTAGTATAATATGGTGCATAATACGCATATTATTAAATGGGGGTGGAAGGGGGGAAGTAAACGCTTGAAAATAGGCAGAAAAGTGATGGCGCGATGCCAAAGAGCCAAAAAAATCTTTGGCCCTCGCGACCATCATAGATGCATCATTAATTTCATACTCACCACTAGAGAGGGTTGAGAAAATTGTCCACTAATTGCTAGATGCATTATTAATTTCATACTCATGCACTAAAGCGAGTTTACTCGAAGTATTTTATTTTTTCTGTTTTGAAATGTTCTCACATATCGTTGAGGCACTTATTATTCAATCTCTTGAACATTGGGACTCTAAACAAATGATTTGGAAATGAAAATGTTAAGTACGTATCTCCCGGTTAAGTACGCACAAAAGTTTAGGGTTCAAAGTGGGTACTTAAGTGGGAGACTACTGTAATCTTGTTGCAAAGATTTGCCACCTATCCCATAAACAATTGCAAGTTCAACTGATTCTAGAAATCCATTAGATGCAATAGTGTAAAGATTTGGTTGAAGTTGCGCGTAAGTAGTTATCAAGCTATCTTCTTTAGAATCGGCTACCTTAGTTCCAGAGGTATTGCCGTCTTGTCTGAAATTGTATGTAATTGTCTCAAATTGATAGAACTATTTCTAGACGCAATAACCTCAATCAAGCTTGTGCAGGTTGCATAAATCGTTAGTTGCGAAGTGAAAAGCTGGGTTAAGGTATATATAATATGTTTGATTCATATTGATCATTTATCCATGGCTAATCTTCTAACTTTTGAAATCAATCACTTAATTGCTTTGGTTGGGAACAAAATGTGCACTATTGCCCCATCCAAATTGTATCCATACTCTTTTGCTCTATAATCTCGACCCAAGGAATTCATGGATAACATTACGTAACACGAGGCATGATGTCCTCGCCATACCATCGGATTCTTGGGTTGCTTGAGAATCTCATCGCAATCCCACACTCAAGAACAAAACTCCTCTTTCTTGTAGCATTATCAAATTGTATTCTGTAAAAGTTGGATACAAGATCAGAGTGATAAGTGTTTTCCTCAATCTTTCCTCAAGCAGTTTTGCTGATACGATAGATGTGTTTTGTGTTGGCAATGCGAGCTTCATCGTGACAGTCCGTCCAAAAGGTATGTCGTAAAATGTGTAGTTCACCGAGAGTTGTCAAATTTGGCCTTGACCATCCTTCTTCCACGAGCAGACTACGATCGACCACGCCGTGATGCGACTACTGTAATTTAAAACACCGCCTTATCCTGCTAACTATGAGATGTGGACAAGTGTTGAGTGAACCAAATCAGAATGGTGGAATTTGGGGACGAAAAATTATACTTCTGTCATGCCGCAGGTGAAACCTACGGCCTTTCTCGGGCTCTGGCTCATTACATTGCCATCAACAGTGATTCCATAGATTTCAACTTTCTTGTGTCAAGAATAACAAATTCGATTAAAGAAGAGAAATGAGCGCTTAGGGCTGAAATTCGTCAGAGTTTAACCTCACAATGGGGAAAAAACAGTGCTGTACCCTCGAATCTTCTCTCATCTCTTGCCATCAATCGCACAACCCTAATGGCACGGATGCAACCTAACTTCTAAACCGGAGAGAATGATATTTCGAGTCATTCTTGACTCCAATGCGAAAATGGGAAAGTGGAAATGAGGAAATGTGGACCGAACATGAGCAAAGGCGGAGGGGAACTGCAGGATGGTGTCATCCAGTAAGGGGGCAGGGGCCATGTAGGACCGGCTTGTGACTCGCCAGGCAGAGCGAAAAGTCAAGTGGCTGCCCGGGCAAGCGTTCGCGCAAAGTGCCAAGTGTCAGTCAAAGCCTCGTCAGCCGAGGAGAATAGTGTACGGCGTTGGACCTGTCAGCGGCGCCGGGCGAGGGGCAGGGCCCGATGCGGATGAGACTCCACGACAAGGCGTGCAGGTGCTGGCATTTAAGGCCCCCCGATGGAGCATGTCAAATGGACGAAGGCACGAAGCGAGGCAGCCATCGCCGACCCACAGATTGTTGATTGATCGATTGATTGTGCCTCCGGAGGTGAATCGCGAGTAGCATCCGAAATTCGACTCGAGTTGCGTTGACTTGGCATCTCGATCGTCTTCATGGAGCATATCGAAGCTGCTGTGGAGAGCGTGGGGCTCGGGGACGATGCGGGCGCGGACACTTCCAGTCTGGATCAGGCTTCGTTCTTCCGAGCCGTGCAAGATGGCAATGTGCAGTCGGTCAATGCTCTTGTCAAGAATCGGAAACATATTGACCTCAACGCTTACAACGATCAGGTATGAATTTGGGCAATTTGCATTGTGATCTGACCGTCCTCTCCCAATCTCATGCTCCTCCAGACGAGCTTCAAGAATCGAGGAGTAACCCGCTTCCGATCTTGCCCACAGCTTTTCTCGAAGCTCGTCTGGAGTAGGCGACAGTGTTCCTCGCCGGAGTGCTTTTCATGCTTCCTTGTTGGTGCTCGAACGATGCAGTTCACTTGTGAGGCGTTGTTGTTGTTGTTGTTGTGTCAGAGCTACAAAAGAGCAAAGAATGCCCCTTTAAGCTTGCAATTGAAGCTTAGAGGTGGCGGAGGCCTGTCGTTATTATGTTTGGAAAGGAACGAGCGACACATGGTTTGAGCTTGGACAAAGGGTGGGGGGATTTTGTGTCTAGGGATGCTTCAGGAGGGAAATTTTGGGAGGCTTGTGCTCTCTCATCAGCTAATGATGTGTACTATCAAATCAGGGAGTCACACCACTGATCTTGGCCGTGTACAAGTATGAAGTCCACCGCAGTGTAGACGTAGTGAGCTCTCTGCTGAAGCATGGGGCCAACGTTAGCGTCAAGGCGGCTCCCACCCCTTCGAACCATAAGATGTCAATCGTCCGCCATGACATGAAGAACCCCGATGGATCATCACCCGAAACGAAGAAGATCGTTTTTGATCATAAGACTCCTCTGCTCATTGCTCTGGAGTTGAAGTCTTCTCTGTATCTGAAAGGTAACGACAGCACGACGCACTTGCCTGAAGCTTGTGTTGAGCTCTTGCTGATCTGATCGATTCTGATATCACAGAGCACTCGTGTTTTGTGCTCAGGATGGGAATATCGTCACTGGGATGCCATGCTGGAGGTTCTGTCGGAAGCCACTGTACAGCAGCTCGTCGAGAAGGGTGTGAAAGTGCCAACCATCCCTGCCCATTCTGTTTCTGAAGTTGTGCAGCGAAACTGGGATGCCGTTTTCAACAGTGGCAAGCATGAGACTATCGAACTAACTGCCGAGGGCAAAGACGTCGTTGCCTTGAAGCTTCTGGTGACTGGTGCTTCCAAGGTACTCTACTCATAATAGGGTCCACAGGTTGACTCATGCTCTGATCATGTTTTTCATCGCTAGACATGTCATTTGTGGACACAACCAAACGCGTCGATCCTTGTGGTGTTGTTACAGTTGTTCCAGATGCAGGCCGGACCTTGAAAAACTCTTCCTCTGTTCCTGGTTGGACTCTATATCTTCTATATCCTCATGTCGACAGTTCTCCCTTACTGCAGGTTCTGAAGATGAACCTCGAGCACTCAAGCAGGATGGAGCTCAAGGAAGCATCTTACAATATTACCAAAGGATTGGTGCATTATCTGTACGTTGGCAAAGTGGAGCCGCACTTTATGCAACAGCGGGGAATTGACCTTTTTGTGACGGCACACAAGGTCAGAGAAGGAATTGAAGTCAATTTTGTCAAGAATCCCTGTTCCTTGGCTGCTGCCCAGAACATGAAATAATAATTTCTTCCCTCTAGCAAATGGAATTTCTGATGTGGCATTTTGTGCTTGCAGTACGGCGTGGAGGCACTGAAACATCTTTGTGAAGCAAACATTGTCCCGAACCAGGGTACTATTCTTTCTCACAATCCATATTACTGACATGAGATACACACTTCGAGAGAGTTGACAAATTTTGAAGTTTAGTGTCCCGAAGATTTTGAATGATTGCTGTTCTAACATGCAATACTGACTTCATCACTTTTGACTCTGCATCAGACAACTGGATCAAGCTTCTTACGGCGGCTGTGGAGACGGACTCTCAGATGCTTACACTCAAGACAGCTCAATCAATCAAAGACGTGATGGCTGAGAGGCAAAGCGGTCAAAGCTTCTTAACAAGAGGCTTCTCAGACATTAAAGACGCCCCGCAACAGCTATTCCAGTCTTCTCGAGGATTAGTCGGATGATGCAGATAATCGCTGCCAAACAGCAAATTTCAGCTCGTTTTGCTTCAGTCCCGGATTTTTGTACAGCTGCTGATATGGAGAGTTCACATGAGAGACCATAGAGTTTCTGGTGTTTTTTGACCCTGTTCTTTTTTATAATATATGTCTATACTTAAGACATGGTCGTGTCGTGGACGTGTTAGCACTTTTGGCTCTTATACGTTGTCTCTTTCAAGACAAGAATAATTACGTCGCTGTTTATAGAAGCTTGAAGTTGTTCGTTTTTGCGTCGGTGAAGAGTGTCCTGTGGCAAGCACTCGGCTATCGATGGCTTGCATGTGAATTCTCTGTGCATCTAGCTTTGTATTCTGGTGAAAGATGCTTCACAATTTGTAAGCTTTCAAGTTGCCCTCGCATCTACCGTGAAGTGAGGACACGGTTTTCGGACCGTCATGAAGGTCCACTCGGTGTCCATGGGGCCCACGTTCTCGAGAGGTGCGAGCAACCAATTCGCAATTGTAAACAGAGTTCTTTAGAATTGGATCATTCGGGTATCTTCGCACGACATTCAAGTGATTAAACTCTTCTTCTTCTTCACAGGGTCATCTCCTGAAATGTCCAGATCCATCTCCATCTTCCCCAGTCCGTTGAAGGTCAAGAGTCAAGACAAAGAAGGGTGATTCCGGCAATGTACATCCACCAGCAAGCAAGAGTAGCTTGATTACATAATAAAACAAGTAACCGAACTGGAAGGTGCAAAGGAAAACCAGTAATATGTCAGACCAGATCACGCAGAAATCGAAACAGGACAAGACTCAGATACTTTCGAGGAAAATCCCCCCGAAATGAATTACAGGTCCAAAGCTCAACTTGAGTCCTCCGTGACGGTGCATCGGACGGCCATTGCCTGGGGAATATTCTTCCCTTCTGGAGCCACGTGAGTCGCCCGACGACAGTGTTCGTGATCAGGATTCGGTGTTCCCTTCTTCCGACAACTAGACTACATAGTGGACCTCTGTCCAGAGAAAGACAAGGGTTTCTCTGATACTGGGACCGCCAGAAGTCAGCACCAAGTTCATTGAGGCATCAGCCAGCTTCTAATCAAAGTAAAAACCAGTTGGTACAAGGTAGCAAATGCACAATGTGCATAAGTGAGCAGAGTACATCAAAATGGAAGTGTAGAGAAAAGGAGGAAAAGTTGAAACTCTCGGAAAGTGCATGGCCTTGGAAGTCATGGCGGAGTATACACCTAACCATAGAATGCAGAAAGGGATAAGTACAAACTCTTGCACTTATCAGTACCTTCATCGTGACCTGGAGTTGCATATCACGATAGTTGACACATGCAACCTCATGATTGCATTCTCTTTTATTCGAGAGTGGAATCAATTTTCTCCTATCTCGAAAAACCTCCAAACTTAGACATTTAAAATAATTGTAAATATAGCAAGCTGAAAATGAAAAGTGCATATGTTTCCGGACAATTCAGTCTTTTTCTCAACGTTGAATGGAGATTTAGCAAGAAACTCAATACAATCCGTATTCATTAATTTCAAAAGTTATATCTTATGGAAAGATTGTAAGAGTCTAAGTGAGATTTTGGTATTTCAAGTTAATGTAATTCTAGTTAGTTGAACTAAAATTTACCTTCTTTTGTGTTATATAAGAGAGGTTATCGTAATTCTCAATGGAAAAAAGTACAAATTTTTCAGTAATATATTTTGGTGCTAATATGTAAGTAGCTACAGCAGAAAATAAGCTACCTCCACAGCTTGAGCAGAGGTGACGCACGTACTTGTTATGTATCCATTCTTTGTCTAAACAATCAAGGGCTGACGGTTTGTGTTAATTTGTGAGAAGCCTTAAAAAAACACAAGACGAAGATTTTTGTTTCAATAGAATATTGGATTAGGATCAAACATACTTCCCAAACTGAAAATCCTGCCTTCTATATAAACATAATTGGTAACCAAGCAAGGTTCTGCTCTATAAACTTGATATCACATGTACTAAACTTTGGTCCACATATGTCCAATGACTGAAAGAATCTATGAACTGATGCTCGTGAAGTTCTTTGGGATAACTTTATGACAATATTGTACTGATTTCACGACTTTTGTGAACTTGCAACTCACATCTACTTCTTGTTGTGTGCTAAAATTTTCAAGACGAGCAAATGCATGGCATTTCGTAGCATACAACATAGGCACACACTGAACTGTTAAGATAGCCTCATCCTTCAATAGTCACGAAGTAGTGTCCATGAATGCTAATTAGATTCAGGAATCCATCAAGCTCATGACCATGAACATTAGAAGCTTACATAAGTTATGAGTACTCTTCCCGTCAGGAGTGGTTTGGCGAAGGAAGGGCTATATACTGTCGTAATAACGGGAAACTTCTCAACATACAATAGCAACATGTTACCTCCCTATAATTGCTAGTTCGAATTTTCCTATTATATTTTTCTTCATTAAAGTGTAGATCTCAACGTTGTTGGAACATCTATATAGGGAGAGAAATCACAATCTTTAAAGAGATTGGATAGAAAATTTTCGAGGTCTTCTTATCATTCTCAGTGCTTCATATACATGGATCTGAAACATCCGCACCGTATCGAATCTTGTGCAATGAACAAGCGTCAATATCGCGTCCTGGATGACTTGATCATGCAAGCATCCGTCGACTGAAATTTGGAAGTTTTCAATTGTGGCACTAGATCATTGAGCACATTCTTTTTCTCCTTGAGCTATCAAATCGATCTTCGCTGACTTCCGACATGGAAGATCAACTCAAATTTCCTTGTGGAGAAAAGCAGATGTCAACAAGGAAAAAAAGAAATACTCCAGCAAAGGACTGATCATCAAAGAGTTCCCTTATATGGACCACGCAGTGTGGACTCAGGACAAGTGTTGATTCAAATGCTCCATTCTGTGACTTCAGGCTCAATTGTGGAAATTTAAATTTCTCTCAAAGCTCTTCATCCTCGCGAGTGTACTACTTTCACCATGATAGATTCCTAACTACTTGGTATATCGACGTTTGAATCTTTCAGCTTATCTCGCGTTACACTCTTAGAGCTCTCTATTGAGCAGCGAAGGAATATTTTCGCCGCGCTCAACTCAGCCACTTCTGTAGCGTTAGTAAAGATCACTCAAGGCCAAATTCTTTTCTGTGAAATATCTTGATGTCTGCAGCAAGTCATTCGTGATCGTCAAACCTTGCTTACGCGCGATTAGTAATCACTCAGATGTAGTTTCTTCAAACGTGGCTTCCTCCTCACTCACATCATGAATGGTCCACTTGTTCTTGATGTTTCAGAGGTTTCACTCATTTGATTCTTAAACTTCTGTATGAAACACGTTCTTGGCCCAGAATGCTGTCGAACATTTTTTGAAAGTTCACATTTGCAAATCATGATTGCAGAGCTCTTCAGGACACATGTAATGGTTGCACTTTTGAGAGAACATCGTATCAATAAAGTGAAAAACGCGTTGCAAACCGATGAAGACTGTCATCTACTTCCAAGTCTGTGGTGTACACTCCTGTCGCGTCGTCAGATTTTTGTCCTCACGGCAGGCTCAGGAATATAGACAGTCCAAGATGGTTCTTAGTATGAAGTGGAAAGCGGAGCACTCCACCTTTGAAGAATGATGTGGTTTGTACAGCTGACTAACCCAACAGGGTGCTGGAAAGAGTGAAACCAATCTCGTCTTCTTCGTCAACCAAGACTCAGGGAGACTACGCTCAAGCATGACAATGACTCAGATACTTCTGAGCCATGATGAGACCAAGTTTCTCCTGTGACTCCGTAGTCAAGTGCATGTGATCGGGATTGAGGTCAAAACCCCAGGAATCGACTGTGCACACCCCAGGAACCTTAACAGTCGCCTGGGCAGCTCGCACCTCCTCCACAAATGGCCATGTACCACAGATCTTGACCTGCAAAGAAATATGGACCCGATGTGCGTGATACAGACTGAAATTCGAATTCCAACTAAAAGAGTATCTTCAGCAGCTCAGTCTTTTGCAGTGAGTGAAAAATACGAAGAGATGTCATCCTAATGAGAAGAATGTCAAATCCTATGAGGTTACACGAAGCTTCGAACCGACCTGCATGATTGGCAGCGAGTCGTCGTTCAGATCAGATCGAAAGTCTGAAAAAAACTTTTCCAGTCGCCACTTGTATGAATCAGCATCCTCTTTGGAGTCTGCATCACTCTCCCCTTGATACCACAGCAAAGCTCTCAGAGTTCCGCCGCCACGACGAGCAAAGTTAGCTCTGTGCAGCATTGTGTTGTATAGAGGTCCTCCTTTCTCCCAGTCCCGGATACTTGTGCCACCGATTGCACAAGGAACGAGACCGATGGTCGGATTGGCGTGCCCTGTCTCTCTCAAATGGTTGAGTACCTTGGCCCCGAAAACAAGGCCAGGCCCGACCCCACAAACCTTCCCTAAACACAATCACGTCCGTGACGGTATTAGTCATCCGCATCGCTGGAATAATTGTTCATGAAGCTGCAATGCGCAGATGATGTCAACATTAGGTCACCCGAGAAGCTCTTCAGCAGAAAACACTAGTCATCTGATCTCTGGAGACAAGCCTCTGTGTCGGAAAAATCGGTTGGACTGCAGGGCCTACATTCGCCGTCCTCGGACACAGGGATAGAAAAATGGAAGCTGAAGCAGAGCAGTATAATCCTAAACCTTGAAGGTCAGATCAGCTCTGCCAACTCTGACGGACGTGAGCGACATCATTTGTGTGTGTGTGATATCTCACCAGCATCGATGTCTCGATGCAGAGGCTCTTTGGCGGGCTCCCAATTCAGCTGTGCTGTCAGTCTGAGGATCGATCCATCAGACACATTCGCTGACATGGGGACGACCTGATTCCAAGCTCGGGTTCCATTCTCCAGTACATCGACACCTCCTCTTCCAGCCATGTTGCTCTGTCCGCCGAGTATGAATACATCCAGACATTCTGTACTCTGTGCCATTGCCACTACAAAGGACAGAAAGCACGGAACGAATAATCTGAGACTAGCTCCTGCAGTCCAGTGGCATATAGTCCGTCGGGTCAGCATTGTGGACAGAAATACGAACAGCTGATGTTTAAAATGCTATCGCTGAGACAACATTCAGTTCATTCGGGGTTAGTGCACGGCAGAATCTAGCGAACCGAGATGACACTCCAGAACACTCAAAGCAGCAGCACCTGAAGTCTAAGACTGAGATCATCTGCCACCATCACCTCACAATCACCGATACTTAACCTGTCGGCATAAAACAACAAAGCGTAAATCGCCTCGAAATTACAGCAGAAGATGATCGAGAGCTGGGAGAGTGTGATATTCCATAATTCTGAGGCGGCTGGGCAGTTACTCTTTAGAAGAGCCTCCTTCTACGGCACTGCATACCGTAAGAGGATTTCTATGCGAAAATGCATGCACACGAAAGCAGATCAATGAAGTGCAAATTGTGACACTGGAACAAGGTTAGAAATCGTGTTCCTTGTTATGTTGCAGGCAGCACACTGACGAGGGTACGAACCGAGACAGTAAACCGTCTTCGTTAACGTGCTTTGCGAGCCACAAAGACTGTACTTCTCGTTACTTGATCATTTATAAAACATAACCACTGACAGTTCTGGAAAGCAAAAGGTGCAAAAAGCGACCACAATGATTGACACTATTTCGTCGGGTAACGAGACAGACACACAGAATCTTCTGTTTTCACCACTTGAGAATGGTGCATGGTGCGAATCTCGCCCGGCCTTACAGAGGTCTGAGCTCGACTGATTCAGGTTCAAATATGACTATTTTATGCACCTCGAGGGAACTGAAAAGCCACATTGCAGCTGAATTCTATTCCACGCCGAATTGCTACGTCTGCCAACCGACGAGGAGTACCTCCCATAAATTGATGAATCAATCAATCAATCATGTTCGACTTTGATCAAGTTCTCGTCTGAGAATAAAAAAATTCACAAAAGTCGAACTTCGATTCTGCTTTCATTCCGATTCGGCCACTACCTTCTTCCAGACCAGAAAACCGGTTGAGCGAATCGAGCTTCAGAAGTGTGAGAAGGATCGGACACCGCCGATCATGCCGATGATGATGCTTTGCTGTCCTCGCCGTGTGAGAAACCCACTCATCGGATCATGAAAAAACCTCTTCTTGACTTGCTCCGAACTGCTTTCACGACGGTAAAGACTGCAACGCCCAGAGCAGTCCTAACCTTCTCCGAGGTCAGAGTGGATCTTATCCGAATCAGCAACCAGTATTCGCAGTACCATGCGTATCCACAACCGCCGATCATCACGAAGATGAACGAACTTGTTTGCCGCAGTCAGTGATATTATCCATCAGTGAATCAATCTTCCAATCTTCCAATCGACCATCTTACCAGCGCTGTTGAAATCAGATCCAGCACTGAGAACAATTGGAGACACCACTCACTGATACTGAGTATGCAGCATGCAGCATTCAATCAGCTCATCTCGACTGGTCTTATAGCACTCATCTACGGACAAAATACTCATAGCCACAGGATAACGATACATACTGCTCGGAGACTGCCGGTACACGAGGCTGCATCCCACATCCGCACGACACGGTCAGCTCCTCGAACCGGTCTCTGCAAACTTGAAGATGGAAAACCAGCAGACTGATAACGAAGCCCACCGTCCCGAACATTTCACAAACAGAGCTTCTGCAGATCCATACGACGTATCCATACACTCAAGCTAACTGTATGTATCGTACGAGCACCTGTGTACGGCTCATTGGGGTCTTCCTGTCCTTTTTGGCTGTATTACAGTTCTGTACTTGGTCTGCACTTCGGTTCGCTTACCGTGGTTCTACTATACTATCCTGTCAAATGAGAAAATATGTCCTCGGGATGTGTTTGTAGTATGGATGAGATTTGACCCCATGTGTTTGTGCTGGATGGATGTACCCTATCCCATAAAGATGAAACCAATGAAAACGGAAATGTACCACTCTCCCTCTCTCTATCCTTCTATAATAAAATATTGCTGAAGGTACCAAACCAACTACATTTCTCTTGAAGAAAACTCAGTCGGCATGAAGGTTTAAGATAGATATCTGGAGTTTCATCAGTTGTGACTTGATGAAACATCTGCCCACCATCAGCATGACCTTCTTTAACTGTCAATGGATCTTTTCTAGCTTCGTCGTTTACATTTGAATTCTAGAGTGCACATTAGAAGTACTGTACTGCCATATTTCTGATTTCTTCTGTTTGTTCACTTTAGAGTTCTGACATGTCTGTGTCATCCATGACCTATATAGCAGCACACCTAATCAGTTACATGTTCCCATAAGGAACACATACAACACACGGAGTTAACAATCTACTTTGCAATATAAATGTGATAATGCAATTAGAAACATATTGCTCAAGCGCTAGAGAGTGAATTTATGAACATTCCTATCTTATTTCTGTTTGTGAATATGTCGATATTTCAAGACTGCACTTTGATCTTTTTGGTAGATGAAGTTTTCTTTGAGTGATTTCTAATTGAAATTCTTCATTTAGGGACATGAAATAGAATTTAAGATTTTAAAACCTCCCAAAGTGCCGAGCTATATATTCGTTATTAAAGAAGTAATTCTTGAGAATAAAAAATTCTTGAAGCAAAAGCCTTTTACGGTGAGATTGCCAACATCAAGTTATCGATCTGGGCAGAGAAAGGCTTAAAATTTAATACTTACTGTTTTCTGTCGTCATAAGGAGGACATGTCAATCTCGATTGGTCTAAATTGACAATTCCTTTGGTTTTCTGACGCTGCGTACTCTTGATCATGACCCTTGTGATTGGTATACCTCCGTTTCGGATTTTTCTCTAGGCAACGATTTCTTCCAACCACATCTTACACATTTTCGCTCGTGAGGATTGTTATGAAGGCGCCTACAACACATTAAGACTCCAGGTCTTAGTTCAACACTGCAGCGTGGATTCGCCCGCTGCACGTGAAGAAAACCTGGCACGGAGCAGAATTGTCAACTTCAGTGCCTGCTCAGCGTTCAACTAAGCGACTCCCCCTCAGTTGACGGCACAGCCTGCTGCTTTATCTACCTTCATACGAAGTGGATCTTTAATCACTTCCCGCGATAGACATGCTTCAACACAATACGCATAATTAAGCATCAAACTGCTGCAGATAGCCTCAGTCAAATGTACTCGTCAAACCTGTGCATGAAAGTACATCTCAACTTCATTTTCTGAGAGTTCTGATAACCTTACAAACTCCAATTCACAATTTCCATAATTTCCGTAAGTGTTCCTGAATTCATAAGGATGAAAATGGACTGGGATTTCCTTTTTATATTTGTAACTACCATCAGTATGATGGGATGACATGCTTGTATAAAAATATACATCTCTGACAGCTGTGGAGCCTAAGATTAATATCTAAATTCTAGACATCTCAATTCCCTGTTTGGCTGACCGCCTGGAGCTGATCAGGAGTTCTGAAATGTAATTGTTAAGATTCTCACCGAAAACAGTTCTCGAAAATTTTGTTTCAACGTGCTTTCTTGCTGCAACACCCATCAATTCTGCTCTACTAGGCTCCCGGAAAAACACAAGCATAGCAGAAGCAAAACTGCGAGCAGAATTTTCACAAAGAAACCCAGTGACTGAATGTTCCACACTTTCCTTAGGACCACCACTGTTGCAGGCAATGACTGGCTTTGCGGCGCCCATAGCTTCCAACGGAACTATACCGAAGTGCTCCTTCTGCAAAATATACCAAGTGTTTAGGTTCACACTTTGCAAAGTCCGATCCACATATCCAGAATGCTCTACCATCAGGCCGAAACTTGAAATGGAGAATTAAAGCCGAAGATCCGCTTCCAAAACTGCAAGAACAAGAGTTTTCATGTGATTTCAGGAAACCAAACGGTCTGGAGGAAAAAACTGTAGGGTGATACCATGGGAGTGTAAATGACGGCAATACAAGAAGCAAGTAACTCGTTCTTCCTTGCAGTTGAACACGATGGCTCAAAGTCCACGAAGCCTGAAATTCCTTCATCGGAGACTAAAGTCTTCAGCTCTTGCAAGTACTCACGATTTTCAGCAAGCCTATCATCGTAGCCACCTGGTTAAAAAGAAAGTAGCATCTCAGAAAACTCTAAATGATCAACACATCGAGGAGCGCTTGAGATATTTTCACAGTTTTCACTCCAATGAGGTTACTAGGGGATGCAAATGTTCGACTAATGGCAGCAATATGATGCTATGCGGTGATTTCAACACCTCCTCTCAACCTTACCTGCAATCACCAGCCTCACATCCACGGATGCAGCAATTTCACACTTCTCATCAACTCGAACCGTTGCCAGTTCCCTTCTTACAGCAGCAAATGATGAAATCGCTAGACCAATATTCTTCTTGCGCTCGAACCTATTGATAGACAGAAAAAATGGTCTGCAAGGTGGTACATATAATCAGTTTCACATTACAAATGCAGTCTCATGTATTGAGCAACTAATACAACGTCACGACAACAGTCATCGGGACGGGAATTATCGACTTCTCAACACTTGCCCGTTGGTACATGGTTTCTTTTGAGTGTAGAACTGGTCGATATCAACTGCTGGGTAGAGAACAGATGGTCTCATGCCATATTTGTTGAGAGTTTTGAATGTTTCTGCAAACGTTGATGCCGTGAACTCACTATTTACAAGCACAAGATCCGCCTTTCCTGGATATATAAACAGCCAAGTAATTAGGCCTAGAGTGGCCAATTATGAAGTGTGGTACTATTGTGCATAAGAATTCCGTTGAAATTGATACGATGACGTAATTATAGGCACGTCCAATGACATGGTTTTATGTATGTCTGCCTATGTTTTACCAGTGGTGGTCTCTTCAAGCCAATCTAGGGGCTTTCTGTAAAGTTTTCTCAACGTTGTCGTGTGCTGCGCTAGTAACATATCCGGAAAGTGACAGTAGAAAAGTATCTGCAGACACATCACAAATGGTAATAGTCAACCAAACACATACCTGCATAAGTAGAGGCACGATGCTCCAAGATAAACTTTGCGTAAGATATCACATTCGAACTCCATTTTGAATAGAACACATGACCTGTGAGGTATGAGGTTCTTACGGGAGTATCACCTTGGACGACGATTTCATCCTAAAGACGGGGATGACAGCAGATACTTGGTCTACAAAGACCACATCAAATGTATGCCAAAAGAGGACCATACAAAAAGCGACGTAGAGACATCGAATATAAGCGCAAACAGCATGCAGCCTGTTGAATATACTTCTGGGTAAGAAGTCCCCGTATACAACGACTGGCAAATCTCCTGCACAAACTCAAAGAAATGGGACAATATGTCATAAGCAAGGATCCTTTCCAAATCACCAACAGCTTACAATGACAAAATATGCCAAACTAAGACCAACGTGTATGAGAACCTGCAGCAGCTCCAATTTCCAAACTTTCACTAAATTGTAGTAGTAAGGGAGAAGGACCTCGTCAAACCAGCTCGTGGTAATTACCTCCCAGGGTTTCCTCGAAGCAGTGTTGCCGATCATGATGAGCAGTAAAAATAAGAACTTCATGCCCTCTCTTTTTCAGTTCCATCGCGGCATCTACGACCAATCTCTCAGCTCCACCTGGGGAGAAAAAAATTAACATGTCAAAACTGTAGTTGTCGACTGTCAGCAATCTGCGATCCAAAAAAAGTAAACGCACGTCCAATTCCTACTCACAGAAACCTAACGATGATCGTGCTCAACTGGAAACTCTCTATGTGCCATCCTTCTGGCCATGAGCCCAGCCGGACCGACTGGAGAGCTTGTCGCAAGAATCTGTCCGCACCAAATTAACAAGCAATCAGGAAACTTATAACGCCGACCTATTCCAAGATCGGGATGGCAAAGCGCGATACGCAGCTTTGGGCTGGATGCAGCCCAGCGCGTCATGGCTGCGACGCGTTTGCCCCTAACAACGAAGCCCCAATAGACGAATTTGATGGATGATTCTTTCACCCACTACAGCAGTCTCCTCCTCCGGCTCTGCTCTGTCGTCGCCATTCGTTGGAACCGGAGGGAAAAAAACAGCAAACAACTGGACACTCGAGAACTCGGAGTCGAAATCTCCTCCTGCTTGAACGAAAATTATGATAGACGCACGACGGAGACGTCGCTGCGAGAGGAGGCAAACATTGAAGAACCAGAGCTCAGTGGCTCTGTCGGTCGATCGGGCCCGAGCTTAGTGAATCTTGAAAATCCGGCCTTCCCACGCGACGCGAAGACCGTCCCCGCCGTCGTGAAATGCTGTGGCCAATCACAGAGCCAACAAAGAGTTGTCAGACACGTGTCGTTAATTGGCCGAGGACGTTGCCACCCCGGCCTCGACGATCGCGTCGCCGACTTGGCGTCGCAGATGCAGTGGTCGCGCGACTTTCGTCCCCTCTCGGACTTGCGCCATGAGAAGCGGTAGAGTCAGTGTCTGGGGATCTCCATCTCCAAACAGACAACTTTCTTGAGGATCTTCGTTACTCTTGTATGACGATACAATTTGCGACGGTCTATTTGTTGGTAAATCACCAGGTTACACACTTTTCTTTGTCATTTTCGAGTAAGAGGCGTTTTAGATTCTTCAGATTTCTCACTTCACTGGGTCTGGCCAGGCATGCTTACATAGGCGACCTTATGGCATGCGGCTAAATTACCTCAATCTACTCTTTGGTGACTAAAAAGTTATCTGGTTTTCTCCTCAAAATCTAGTTTCTTCGAGAGATACTTTTCGGTTTTGATTTCTCTGGTTGAAAAAATTTGAAGTTTGGCTTTACTAGTGGTTAGTTCGGGACCGGGTAATGGTATTTGCCCTATTACAGAGCAGATAATAGCAGCAATTTGCTCCTAGTATCATTTTACGCAATTGCTGGCAGCAGTTGCGTAAAATGGAAGCTTGAACTCAATGCAGGTCATAACAACCGAAGTGATACGATTCAAACTGAGAGAAGAAAACCAAGATTTAAGTTGAAACAAAATTGTACACTGTGTTCAAAGGGGATCTCACACAAACTTTCTGTGCACTGATACAGTTCACAACAGGTTTGCGTACTGTATCAGAGAGATGTATCTTAAATACTAGACACTAGTTCGTGTCAAAGATGTGAACGCGCATCTTTGCCACAAACGCACAATGTCATGTAATGATTGGAAACATGTTCATGTAAAGATTTTGCCTTGTTGAGAACCTCATTCTTCGCCCTGTTTCGGAGCATTCTTTACAAACAATATTAATCGCACAAGTAAACAGGATAGTTTTGTGTTGCATTGAGTGCCATTTCGGAGCGTTTGTGTAGAACATACCTATCGCCCATGTTGGAGGAGCTTTGTGCAACTTCGAGTGCAGATTGCGAGCTTGGTAGTGAGAAAAAATCTGTCATTTCTGCTGTAGACAGTCATCTACAATTTTCGACCAAGGGAATTATATTAGCTTATTTACGCTTAATCCTCATCCGGAGATGTTTGGCCGTGAGTAACATCTGAAAGTGTTTCACACGAAGAATTCCTGAATTGGCTAGGTTTACTATCATGGTGGGATTGCATTCAATTATGTATATGAGTTAATTCACATACATATCTTCAGGAAGTAATTCAGTGATAAGAGTCTGTGTCCGGATGTTTATCTTTCCGTATGCACTGAATATACCACGACGTAGGGCACACTCTTCTGTTCTAGTTGACAACAACTGGCATGACACTCTGTTGGGATTGGCAAAGGTCCCTCTCAAATCTCGGACATTGATTTTCGTTTGCGTTATTGACATGTACCAGTATATTAGCGCTCCGGGTTTTGATCTATCCCTTCATACGTCTTGATTTCACTTTTCAACCTTTAAATTTAACAGTCTCTCTCAGAGCTACATTCTTAGAGATGGAATCTTCACACTCGCTTGAAGATGACTCCACTGTCGGTACATTTCTCTTTACGAGACGTAATTCACAAATCTCGTAACTAGCCTTAGAAGATCTGTCTTGTAACTCACCCACCTCCACCTACACATTGTCGTCCGCTATAATCCTCTCTTTTCTTCCCGAATACCAGGCTAAGGATTGAGAAAAATCTGAATTGTCTACCTTAAACCCTCCACTATCCGCTCACTGGTCGAAACATTGCAGGTGGAGAATGGCTCGGAGAGCGACGTCATTGGATCATGTCTTCGAATAAGTACCATCACGCGGATCCATTTTGGCGCTTTAAAAACGCCAGCTAGGTTTGTGTAATTGTTCATTGTTGTATTCAGAATGCCCGATGGTAGTGAAAATGATGAGACTACATTTTGACTGCCTGGAATTCATACAACACATCAAATCTACAAAACTAGGATTCATGACACAACCAATATAGTACAAAGTTTTACTAAACTATTTCCATTGCGTTCAATTAAGGAAAAGCACATCGGGTAGAATAATCTCAGCGCTGAACTCATTAGGCCACCAACGTAGATGGTGGCGACAAACTATTCATGAATCTCCGGTAAGCTGTCATCTCCCCACAGTAAAACGGTAAAGAGCCGAGGACAACCATCTTCCTGCGCTTCCGTTAGCATCCAGTAAATACATACATAGAAGTTTCGAAGGTAAGAGAAATTGTGACGACTACACGGACGTGATATTCGCAAAATCTATGATCACAGCAAATTCTCTTCTCAATCTGTCGAGTAAACAATGTCTAAAGGATTTCGACACATCCCTTAACCACCGGTCATATAGACATATCATCCGCTTTGCTGGATCAAAATCTGGCTCACCTGGAAAGGTACACATTGTCATGGTGCATCAACTAAACTATCACTCAGACGAAAGTGTTGGGCCTGGAAGCCTTGTAGGTGGTCTTCAACTTCCTGGAAGGAGGTCGGATTTTGCGGTAAGTCAGGGGGAACTTAATCTTCGAGTCGTGGAATTGCTTGGTGTTCTCACGCTTGCACAGAGCAACAGGGACGGTGGCAGTCTTGATGATCTGGATGCAGGGGAAGCGGACCCTGTGTCGAGAAGCCATCTCATCGTACATCTGCTCCACAGCTCCGTTCAATGTAATATCACGGTACTCCTTGTACATGTTGTGATAACCTGTGCGACTTTGATACCTAACCCAGATACCGAAGTTCTTGATGGTGGTGGGCTTCTTCTCGAAGATCTGACATGTCACAAAGTACAGGCCTTCAATACGCTTTCGACAGTATATCAACAAGGCATTAATTTGCAATGATGTAAATGTGCAACCTGATTCTAGTGGATAAAGCTGAAACAAGCGGATGCAGGTACAGTTTAGTTTACCTCGTTGATGGCGAGCATCTGACCGTGAGACTTCTTCACCTTCTTCAACTTCCTGAGGAAGTACCTGAGGAGCAAAACAAGTATTTTGAAGACCAGTGATTACGCAGCGCTGGGCAGGTGATTCATATGTCCCTAAGACGGTATCATCGTCATGGAGCTAGAGCAAAGTTTTCCGCAGTAGGTTTTTCGGCTGACATTTCAAAGCACACATGATGGAGCTTCGCCTATGGTTACGTAATAGTCGAGCAAATACGGAGATTGGACTTACCAGAACTTGGATTTGGCCCGGACTTCGTTAGTGGCCCAGAGCTTCATTCGGTAAATCTTGGGCGACTCATTGGTAGGGGTCGGCAAAGCACGACCCACCACCTGGTACTGGTGAAACTGCGAGATCCAAAAATGGATACTTGAGAACTGCCTTCATCAACTCTCCACTCAAATTGCAGAACTTGACATTTCGACTGACTCGATCCGGAGATGCCATCTTATTCATTCAAAAACTTTCGCTTCGGTCTCTATTCGGAAAAAAGTAATGCGAATCTCCACTGCCCTAACGATCACATGAAGATTTGAATTTCCCCCCCGTGAATGTGGCTTGATATGGTATCATATCGTGAACACATTCATAAGTGAAGGGATTGACACGACACAACTCTTCGGGATGACAGGAAAGAGCAGAAGATAATTGACCTACAGTATACAAATTACATCTTCTCACTGTTACCCATAGCAGTTCAATCCCTAAAAAGAAGACTAGAAATTCTTTGTTCAAAGTTTGGTCACACATCACGGCCAGACAAGTCGCAAATTTTATGAGAACTGACAACAACTGGGTGAAATCGTCGAGGAGAGGACATACCCGGAAGCTCATTTTGAAACTCACTGCTCCGTATCGAACAGTCGGACAGGAAGTGCGCAGAGCTCCGAAGCGAGAAAGAGGGCTCGATGGAAAGAGAGTTTCCTTCTTCTTCCAGCTCCTTGTTGCTTGCGTCTCAGAAACGAACGGGGTCTCGTTCCTGCCTTGAACGCCCAGCCCTAGATCTGACGGCTTACAGAAACGGCATCCACGCTCTCAAACCCTAACCACAGTCTGCGGTCAACCTCCACGAGTTAACTGGGAACCGAAGCCTGGCTCCGCCACAATTGGAGGTCCTGTCGCTACACGGAGCGCGCGCTGGAAAACTTGCTAAACTTGCTCCAGCTCGTTCTACCCACGGTCTAGATCACGGCTACCTTCAACGCCTACCTTCGACTGGCTACTTTCTCCGCTAACTCCAGCCAGGGCCACCGATGTCTCTCTGTCCTGTCGTCTAGTGTATACGAGCGCGGCCCTCTACCCCCGCGTCGGTCGCATGCACATTGCGCCAGGCCTCGGAATCAGGGTCATAGCGGACCAAGTGGCCCCCCGTCTGCCTGGTTTCCTGTGAGCAAGTAGACGAGGACTCCGTCGTTCTCTCTGGGCTGAGTCGGATGTAAGAGGAGCATGGTCGAGCTCATCTTGTGCACACGCGAGTAGATATGGCGGTGGTTGACCAGGTGCAGGAAATGGATGATCTTTTTTTCTGCGTGCGACTGGTGAGTGATGGCTTTGCTCATGAGCCAATACTAAGTGACTCGAAGGGTTGAGTCGATTCGTCTTTTACAAACCCCCGCGATCTCCGTCGAAATCCGTCGCAATATATTGGATACCAAAATTTCGAAATGCACTCGAACTGGCAGTTCACACGGTATCGCTCGAAAAGGTTTGTGTTACACCGATCGTGGAAAGATGCTTTCTGTCGACAGCCACAATACGAGGACGTGAAACGGCTGACTTCTAAAGACTGGAACTGAAAGGACCGGCGAAAGTCTCTATTCAGTACCTTAGTCGTCTACCAACATGTCCACGTGCGAATCTTGTAGAGCTCAATTTCAAATTGTCGGAAAATTTTAAACGCAACTGGACGATCGGCGCCTCAGCTGGAGAAGGTCTTTGAACATCTCCTCGCGACTACGCGTCACAAGGGCACCACGAGGCCGATGAGTGTAGGGTTGAACACGGGTGACCGAGCAAGGACCTCGAAGTCACTGGGGAGGGTGAAACAATTTTCCGAACGCCGGCGGGGCGAATGAGATTGGCATGGCTTATCAGGAGTCGCAAGACGATGGCTTTGAATCAGTCAGGTCACTTAAGACGTCAGATAAATATTTGCGGCCCAAGGAAGATAATGCTCATCCTCGTAGACCACGGATCAGATCCGGCCGGCTGTGAACACAGCAGATGAAAGAGTTCCGGGAGTTGGGTATATACCAGGAAACGGACGCAGGACTGAAATGGAGAACAAGAGCCTCGTCATGCGAGGCAATCTGACAGGTAACTTTCAAAACGTAGATGATGGCATGCAGATGGTGTACAGTTTGATCACACTCTGTAACACCAATAGTAACGTCATATCTGTGATGGCAGGGTATGACATGAGCCACATTTGTCTATGAACCTAAAATTATGACCAACCATACTCATCAACTTGATTGAGAGACAAACACTTGAATGGATATGTACATAAATCCTTCCGAAAGACTTGGTTGGAAAGAGATCAAACAACAAGACTTGGATCCAGCTGTAGAATTCAAGAATGGAAACCAAGAGTCGAGGCAAATTCACGAGACGAAGGATTTATCCATTTTAGGTCTCAGCACTGGAAGACTCGACGGCACAAGTCTGCACGTGCATTCAATTTTGATGCGTGAGACAGCGACAAATAGTTCGGGATTCTACTTTCATCGAACGTCCAGGATTTGGGAAAGTGAAACTGACTGCATTTGCGCAACTACTCTTCTCTGATGAAGAAAGATTGCTGGTTTTTGCCGAAATCTAGACATGACATGATTTCATCTGGAAGACTCGAAGTTCTTTAAAACGATCTGAAACTCAGGCGAGGACTACTAGAATGGGGACGTGGTTATTGTGAATGATTCTGAATATTGGAAGCTCGGGTTTTTTTAGCCATCATGACAAGAACTGGATGTGCAAAGTTGTCTGCACCTGCTTTAATGATTCTGTCGGTGGAGTGTAGTGACTTGAAAACAAAGACTACTTTCTCCCTATACACAGGAAAGATTAAATAATTGGTCGAACTCCTGTGGGAGAAACACCACATCTACCCTAACAATGACTCATCCTCGTGTATTAGCATCAACCTTTTGGATGTTATGTTCAAAAATGGAATCATTCTTGAAAGGAAGCAAAGTGCCTTTCTGGTCATAATAGAAAGAGTCAGATACAAGAAACCCAAAAATCAGCCATAAAGGTTTGGAATGAAAGTTGATTTATGAAAGCTCTGCAATACGCAATAGAATAGCATGGCATCAAACATTCAACATAAAATATAATCGGCAGCCATAAATCAGCCTATTATCAACGCCCCACTCATGGCATAAAGAAAGTAGATAGAAAATAACAACAGAATGACAGCTTCTTGCAGCTAGATAATCATCTTGTCTGCATGAGGTTCGTTGACGATATTAATGGAACAATAGTTCAAATGGGAAGTGACTTTGAATCCACTTGATAACTGTTGCATTCGATCAGAATATGCACCTCCAACCTTTCCTAGATAGAAGAAAAAGGTGATACGGGCGGGGGTGACATATTTGGAGGAAATTGGCTTCTCTTGTCCTCCTCTTACCGATATGATAAGTCCTGGACCTGTCAGTTAAACCTGTCGAGGCACGGAATAGAGAGAGACAGAGAAAGAGGTGAACGGTGAGCAGCAGCAGAGCAGAAGCAGCCAGAGCAACAGACCTTTTGCAAATTGATTCCAATCTTACACGTGCTTGTGACCGAGACTCATCATGCCGTACGGTCCATGGATGGTTGCCGCAAGGTCATTCGAAGGTTTTACTATCGTCCGTCACACCGGAGTGTCCTGCCAACGAGGAGGAAAGCAGCCTTCGTTTTGTGAATTCTCGGTGCCATACGAATGTTTCGAACGACTCCGATGGACCACGAAGTAGACATATCCAGGAATTGCCACGAAGTCTAATGCGAATTGCCTTTACATCCCACAATCAGGGAAAGCCTGAAAATGATGAGACGGAGGACCTTAGCTGAAACATGACGAAGATGAAGATCAGTCTCACAGTCGGACTCTTTATCCTATTCCATGCCACGCTCACAGCTGACGCTCAGCCAGGTCTCTTCCATCTGTCTGGACTCGAATGATTGAGAGAATGTCGATAGCCCAGATGTTTGATACCGGTCTCGGTTGTTCGAGAAGCTCAGAACTCCCTCCTCTAAATTTAGAGTCGCAGGCTGAGCGTGCTAGGATTCTAATTGTTCAACGGAGAAATTACCCTCTCCCTCTCTCAGAAGCTCGTGTGCTGTGTTGCGTTGCTCGTATTCGATTTTTGATTTTCTGCGGTTCGCTGTGCAGGTTTTGTCAGTATAGATTGTGGAGGAGCTGAAGCTGGGTACACGGATGAAGCGGGCATCGACTGGGTTCCAGACGGAGACTACGTTTATAATGGGACGGTAGCAAATGTGAGTGGGGCTGCCAGTCGCACGTTCCAGACTTTGAGATACTTCCCTGGCGGTCAGGAAAAGTTTTGCTACGGTCTCGGTCCCCTGGATGTCAGCAGTCGGTACTTGGTGCGAGCTTCTTTCTTGTACGGCAGCTATGATGCAGCGACGGCCTTTCCGAGTTTCCGGCTGTCATTGGATACGAGCCCCTGGGCCACCATCACAATTGTCGATGCCTCTACTGTCTACACGGAAGAGTTCATTGCAGTTGCCACGGGCACGAATTTCACCGTTTGCTTGTATAGAGGAACGACTGGAAATCCTTTTATATCAACGCTGGAACTTCGTCCACTAGCCGCTGCAATGTATTCCGTTCCATATCTGGACATTTCTTTTCTCAGGAGAACCGTCCGAATCAACTTTGGAGCCCTCTCTGACCAGCCCCTCCGGTGAGTCTGTTTAAATCAGCTGGAAGCTTTGAACACTCTCATAGGAGTTTTGAATCACCAATGTTTTTCCATCGGAGTGATAACGTGATAAATTGTCGAATCTTGTTTCAACCACAGATTCCCAGATGATCCCACGGACAGAATATGGGTTTCCGATCGAGTTTACCCTCTGCAAGATCCAGCTCCTCAAACGACAAATATCAGCACGACACGGGATATAATTGTAAATACGACTGATAGGCCTCCTGTCAAAGTGATGCAAACAGCTGTCGTCGGCGGACCTACCGGCCTGAGTTATCGATTAAATCTGGCAGATTATCCAGCAAGTTGCTATGCTGTCATCTACTTTGCAGAGATTCAGGAACTCGGGGCAAATCAGTCTCGTGCATTTTTTTTCCGAACAAATATAGAGGATCAGAGGTTTGATGGAGTGGTTCTTAACCTTGCGAGAGATGTTGGTGTGTTCGAAGCATTTGAACCTGGCTACTACAATGCTACCCTTCCTAACCTTGTTACGTTCCAACTACTGGAAGACAACAGCTCAACATTGCCTCCTTTGATGAATGCGATGGAGATTTACCAGATCATGCCTATCGTTCCGGGAACCTTCCCTGATGATGGTAAGGGACGATCTGTACTCGTATTTCTAGTCTAATTACGTATTGTGGCTTTGCTCATGACTGAAGATCTTTCTGTATCTGTGATTGCTGCAGTTACAGCACTCTCCACATTCAAATTGCAGCTTCCGCCAGAAGAGGTGGTTGGTGATCCATGTTTACCTGAACCTTGGGATTTTCTGACCTGCAACTCAGAGTCACCCCCGAGAGTCTCTTCCATGTACAAACCTTTGATGCCATTTCACTTAATGAACGAACAGCACAACAAAGAAATTGATGTGGAGATTTAAATCAAGATCAATCGAAACATATACTCATCTAGAATATTCATCTATGCAAATGCCTTTATGTATTTTCGACAACGGACCTCCCTGTTATAGCGAATTTTCAAGTCAGTGATTGATATAGCTGAGATACCAGCTGCAACAATTGTTCCTTGCGCAATGTTTTCACCATTTCACTTTCTTCATTCAGAAAACTCTCTTCAAGAAATCTAACCGGAAGCATTCCCGCGAATGTTGGAGGAATGACAGGGTTGGTGGATCTGTAAGTTCTCGTCTTGGCTTCTTTCAGTAGGCTAGTCGAAGGTCATATGAAAAGCATCTCTTCAAAAGCTGGAAAGTCCTGAAAAGGAAAGTTTGTACACTAGTTTTATTTTTGCGGGAATGTGTCACAGAAGTAATGTCCCAGATATGCTTCTTAGAACGCATGCGGTTAAGCTAAGTAGCCACCAGTAAGTCGTAGCTCTTTCTGTTTGATTAGTCCAATGAGGCGTTTCGTTGACTATGCACAAGCAAGACCTTTATCGAGTAGTTTCAATATCTTGCCAAAATAAGCCAACAAGAAACATAGGACGAGTAATGGTTGGCTTGTTAATAAACGAGTCAGAACTTTCTGCAATACTATCTTTCCTACCAAGACACTTGTGTGGACATAGTCGGCATTATAAAGTGATGGTGGTCTTCTGTTGCATTCAGTGAGATTGAAAACCTGTGTTGACCTTAGATGTTACGCAGCATCCTCGATGACAAAAGCTACACAGCACGTCTGTTGCTATGTATGTCTGAAACGAGCTTATTTCAACTCTGATTTCAGGTGGCTTGACAACAACCAGCTTACGGGGAGTATACCAGACTTCGGTCAGCTTACGAGGCTGCAAACTCTGTAAGTATCGATGTGTAATATTTTGTACCGAGACTACCTAAGTTCAAACTCGTCCGGATCACCGCTGCTTTTTTAGTAACCTCCGCTGTGATGCAATACAGTATAGTTGAATAACAAATACTCTAGTATATTATAAGAAACGAAAACTGTTACTTCAAGCAACGTTTGCCATACTTGGGTATCTACAAGCAGAGCGTAATGAACTATCTCAAAATTTGCCTATTTGGTTGGTGTAAAACGACAATGTTATGCACGGAGGAAAAAAATGCTAAACATCAGCGACGTTTGGTTGACAGGCACCTCCAGAATAATCAACTATCAGGGAAATTCCCCAGCTCACTTGGCGGTCTTCAGTCATTAACTGAAATGTAAGAGCACCTTACGTCTTGCATCCACAACACCTACTTATAAACTTCTGAGTAATATCGTCTCTTTTCCACGATGAAAAGTCACCATTTTTGTGTTTCACGTCATTTTTTAGCACTTCAACAAATTTTGTAGTTTGGTTTCCTTTTTCAAGATGACAGATTAAGAATCCACCCCGATGTTTTTTGATGTGTTAGATTCGTGGAGAATAATAGTCTCAGCGGAACAGTGCCAGCCAGTCTTCTGGAGAAGGGAGGCGTCCTTATCAGGTATGTTAGCCCGGCCCTGCCGTCTTTCAACAATCTTCGGCTCTTTCAAAGGTTACTGCTTCCTCGATTCCCTTCATCTGGTGTAAATATGAACTCAATATTCCATCAGTGTTAAGTGGGCTCAGACATCCAATCAGTCTACATGCAGTTCGGGACTAATATTAAACAAAGTGGTTTGGACTCAGGGCGGATGGAAATCTAAACCTTTGCGCAAGCCTCTCTTGTGCGGAATCCTCGGACAAAGATCTGAATCTCGCAGCTATGGTTGGGGGGATTGTAGGCGGGGTTGTTGTACTCGCCTTTGCTTTGTTGGCTTTCTTTTTCTGGAGAAAATTGAGAAAGAGAACGACGAAGGATCGTCATGAAGCCTCACGTGTGTATTCCTTAAAGCTCTAACTTCTAATTTTCCTACTTAGTTACAAACACGCCAAACTCATCTCATGTTTTAAGGGCAACGGCAAACTTTATGTACATTCTCGTTTGCGTAGCTTTAGCTTTTGACATCATTTGAAGAAAGCGATGATAAAATTTCATTTTGTGGGTGAGATGTTTTCAGGACTCCCTTTTCAAGAACAACCAAGTTTTGTAAGTTCTGAGTTAGTGTCAAGTACGGACAACCCTGTTCACCCAGGGGAAGGAGCACGTCTATTCCATTTAGCGGAATTGCAGGAAGCCACTGAGAACTTCAGCAGAGAAATCGGCAGTGGAGGCTTTGGTCCTGTATACTACGGAAGATTGGGAGATGGAGAAGAAATTGCTGTCAAGGTGCTGTCAGCCAGTTCAAACCAAGGAGCAAGAGAATTTTACAATGAGGTATATGCTGTTAGCGTGTAACATGTACTCTATGTCCGTGGATTACCTATTTGATACTGCCTAAGTAGCTGTTTGAAAAGCCTCAATATCTGCCTAATTATTGTCATTGGCCTTGTAAATTCACTTTTTAGGTGAATTTACTTTCCAGGGTACACCATCGGAATCTTGTAATTCTTTTCGGTTACTGCCTGGATCTGAAGGAAAGGATGCTCATCTATGAGTATATGCACAAGGGAAGCTTACGAGATCATATTTACGGTAAGAAATAAACTTTGATGTCAACTCCCATCTCACCCACCCTTCGTCTACCCTTTCCAGTCTTTTGTCAGAAGGTCCGATGCACCACGCTGCAATTGATACTAGTGTCTGACATCTGTAAGCCAGGTACACTTCCATCAGTCAGTCTTTATCCTTGGAGCATGTACGTAGACCAGGGATGAAAAGCGTGTTACAATCCCATATATCATTCTGACATCGTCTGCATCTGAGAAATATTCTTTCTGTTTCCTTTATATGAAGGTATGCATATGATCGTTGGGAGTGACTAATAAGTTCACAGAGATAAGTAAGACTCGGAATAATATGTGAGTAGGTCTTATTTGTTGAATTTATATTCCGTACTAACCGTTGATATCATGGTCCTGCAGGTCCTCTTTCTAAGGAAGAACCGTTTGATTGGATCACAAGGCTCAACATTGCTTTGGATGCAGCCAAAGGTGATTCAGTTTTCAGTTTGTTGGAGTTTGTAGTGTTCCCGTACTCTAGTTTCTCAGTTTCTATATTCACTTCCAGAGTCCTCATCAATAGGCAGTATTACCTTGTACTTTTGTGTACGTCGATATTTGTAACCGTCCTACTAACTGTCATGACGAAGTTGGTTTCCAAGGACTGTTTCATGAAGATGTGTTCAGAATCGCATGCAGTATGACTCGATGTAGTTCAACACTCAAAACTTTCTTAGCTGACATACAGCTCTCTTCACAGGGCTGGAATATCTGCACAGTGGCTGCTGTCCAAGTATAATACACCGTGACGTGAAGAGTAGCAATATTCTTATTAACGAATCACTATCTGCCAAGGTAGCAGATTTCGGTCTCTCCAAACTCACTTCAGAAGGTGTAACCGCTGTATCAACAGTTGTCAGGGGCACGGTTGGGTATCTCGATCCAGAGTATGTCCCGTCACCAGTTCCTTGTTTGTACCTCAGTGCTTAGTTTCTTTCTTGTTTAACGTGTTCCTCCAATTTTGTACACTTCTCGTATGTTAATGCATTTATTGTTTCGAACTAGATGCATGAGATTTGGGGTGTGGTTCATAGATTCCTGATGGGTACGCTCGACGCGCAGGTACTATATTTCACAACAGCTTACGACAAAAAGTGATGTGTTCAGTTTCGGAGTAGTTCTGTTGGAACTGATATCAGGACGTGAACCTATCCTCGTCTCCAACCGCAGTGATCCAGACTCAAACATTGTAAATTGGGTATGTAGTATTCATACATACCGGGCTTAAAATGAGCACTCCAGCAGTCTCCTCTGTTGACCTCATTGACCTTCTGCATCTACCAGCTTACCGAACACTCTGCATAGACATGTGACAGTTGTCCTGCACGTGATTTTTGTGCAATCGGGAGAGTGAGCATTGCTAACTTTCTGCCTTGTCTATTGTGTCGAACAGGCACGGAATCTCTTGCAGAGGGGCAATGTACAGAGTATGGTCGATCCCACTTTGGAATCCAGTTACCGGATGGACTCAATGTGGAAGCTAGTCGAGCTTGCAATCAGCAGTGTGGACCAGCAGGGTAAAAACCGGCCAACGATGAATCAGATCGTGCTTGAGCTCACGGAGATCATTCGGATGGAAAGGCCCAACAACACTTTCGCCTCAGCAAGCATCACCGACTCGTTCCCTACTCTATCGTCCGCAAGAAGTACCAGTATGTCTCCTAGTATGGATTATGATACCTCCAGTGAGATACCGGCATCTGGTAGGCTGAGCGAATCTTTCGATTCCTTGACTGTAAGATAAATCTCGAGACTCTTGGTGCGTGAAGGGCATTTTGGTGAAGGGACTACACCAGAGACGAAGCCTTCGATACTTCGTTGTTGGGTGTTTAGGGTTCAAGACCTCCATGTACAGAGTTGTTAATTACTCGATTGAAATCTGACACGGGTAGGTCCGGTATAGCAAGCCACACGCAAATCTAGCTCGTAGATCGGACGGCTCCCTTCATTTTTATTTAGAGGTGTAAGTAGTTGCAGGAGGCTGTGAAATTCCCGTGAAGTCATTCTTATTCTTTGAAGAGGTTTCTCTTCTCGTCCACCAGGTGTCTGGAATCATGGTGGGCAGGTGCCCTCTCGGTAAAATTTGAGGTGTATTTAAGCAGCTCGATTAAAGAACTCGGACGCATACATTAATCCAAGTGACCAGCGTGTGGACTAGCTAGCTGTCTGTCACTTGCCCTCGGTCGGTCGAAGGTGTAGTGGATCGCTGTCTAGACGAGCATATTCCCAAGAGGATTACACCCACGTTCCCACAACATCTTCAACATGCTGACTAAAAGTATCAAGAGGCAAACATGCCAGAAAGCGCGTCACGCCCACGTGCTTATAAAATCTACACCACGCAGACCAAGAGCACCAAGAGGGCAAGCATCCAGGAAGCTGATGCTCAGATGAATGTTTCCACAACCACGGTCGATTGCAATACGGAATCGGGATAGATGGACCCTGTCTTGGTTCCTCCCCGACACGTTCCTGCGACGAGAATACGAATCTGCTGCCGGGATGTCATTGCGAAATACGATCGATGAGAGATCAATGCCGTGGGCCCAGCCCAGCTCCTAATTACACACTAGCAGAATGCACTAATGGCCGCCCTCTGTGTGCTGTATGTACACCACTGAAGAGCGAAGATAACAGCTTGCTCGGAAGATGCCTGATAGACTCGTCAAAGTGAAACTTGCCAAACAGGAGCAAGAGAGTGCGGTCTCTTCGCTTCGCTCCTCATGCGGATGCGGACCCTTTCGGACCAGTCGATACGAGAAATTCTTCCTCAAGAAGACGTACTTGGCGTACGAATGGAACGAGTACGCTGAACGACAGGGAAAGAGTTTCGAGGATTCTACCGCAAGCATTGCGGGCAGGGCACGCAGTGGACTTGCCTTTCCTGGAGCGGTTAACTGTCGTCGGATCTCTGCCGCTGAAAGCACCTTGGCAGTCAGAGAAGACAGAGGACAGGGCGGGCCATTGGAGTACAATTCTGTGGATTGATCAGATCCCAGATTTCGCCGAGCGGATTCACTTCAAATAATTGAATTGATGACATTCGTCGCTTGCTTAGACTTGATTCATCTGAGTGAGCGGGGGCGCTTGAGGGAGGCAGCCGAGGGACTAGGAAAGGTCTGGAAGCACGTGTGAGTACAGTACTTTCATTCTTGGAACGGTTTACAGTCGAGAGAGAGAGAGAGAGAAAGTTAGACACAGAACATGGCTCTGACCCGAGACAAACGCGATTTGTTTTTTGGAGTTGGCGCGCTGCTCGCTTTGATGGCCCTCTTCCAGTTCTTGAGCTATGATCTATTGATACCAGCGAAAGACATGCCCCACAAGTCGAAGATCGAGCATTTCCGCCGGCCTCATTTCATGAATGCTACCCTTGTAGAGAAACCTGCGCGGTGTAGGGGTGCCCTCTGTACTTTTATGGACATCACCATCAAGTCTGACTACGTCGGTCAAATTGTTTTCCTCCTAAATGATATCAAGGTACATTTTTCCTACCACATTCTTGGATTCCATGGCGTCCAGAGACATGCATGTTTTGTGCAAGTGTTGTGTGCTTTTTTCAGATATACCTCAATGAAGTCTTGGAGCTCCTCAGGGCACATTTGAAAACTGTTGAGCGTGTGCCTTCTCTATTGGCTGTTTAAAAGTCTTTGGAGTCTCATATTGTGGTACTTCAACTCAATTACTGCTTTCAGCATCTGAGGGCATCGATCCATTTAGTTTACTTGCATTCACGTCACCTGTGATCGATGTTTGAGATGAGGATCGGTGGCCTCCTCCTCATCCATCTTCGTCCTCCTCCTCGACTTCCTCATCTCACAATGTACCTTTGTGCCACAGCTCTGAGCAGGACTTCTATCTCTTATCTATTGCTCATGACGCTGACCTACACCAAGTTTGTGGAAAAGAGTGGAGGCGCACAACGGTTCCCAATTCTGTTGTTTTTTATTCTTTTTGGCTTCTGGAACATTGAATAATTACTGAACGATTGCAATTATGTGGAATGAAGAGACCGAAAACTGCCGAAAATTTTAGAGCTCTCTGCACCGGCGAGAAGGGAAAGTCTTCCAGCAGAACCAATCTTCACTACAAAGGAACGGCATTCAGCCGTGTGGTGCATAACATCCTTGTTCAAGGAGGAGACATTCACAGTAGGTCACCTTCTACTACCCTGCTCCTTGAATGAAGTTGACGTAGACACTTGCCATGTGATGTAATTGCTAATCTTGAAGTCAAGCTCCGTATTTATTTTATTCTTCGAAATCATTAGAATTTGAAGATCAAAAGTAAGCAACTAAAGTTTGTATTACTGTTAATTTCCTACAAGGCTTACACGGGGCTTGGTAACCTTTACTTGCTTTGAGATTAGTTTTTTGAGTGAGGATCTCATTTTGAAGTTTGAGTTATGAATTTTGTATATAATTGTAGTCCACGTACATTAACTTTTGGATCGAGGATGATGAAGTTAAAGTAACTGATTTAAGTTAATGGGTTGATGAGGTTTTGAGATATTACAGATATCGGAAATTTCGTCAAGAACCTGAAATCATTGGGGAATGTTTTGAAGATGAAATGTTGATATTTGAATCAGTGGTGACCATGAGATTGCTGTTAAGTAATTTTGATCATTTTTAGCAGGACTTGGTGATAACACCTTACATGTTTTGGACATTTGGGTGCATTTAAAATTTATAAGCAAGACTGTCATTTGGTGTGATGTCAGACTGGAATCAATTCAAGAGTTCAAATTTGAAGAAGTAGTGGCAATGTGACTTCACACATGGACAAGTTATATTGGTATTCCCTACAATTAGTGAGGAGGGCATATCAAATCATCTTGATTTCAAGGTTGCACATGTCGAGTTAATTTCTCGGGGAATTTGGGTCTTATTGATTTACGATTACATCTATAACAAAGTCGTCATTTTTGTTAAAAGTTTGAGTGGGAAGATAGAAGTATTTATTAAAGCTATTGCTCACAAGAAAAATTGTCATAGATGGAGTGGATCAAGATGACCAAAGAATTGCTAGAGTAGTAGTAGTTGAACTGTATAGGGCATTTGAAGAGAATGCCAAATCTCAAATAAGAGGATAGATTGTAAGAGAGTACAATTTTGGTTGAGAAATCTTCTGATATTAATTACAATGATATAAGTTGAGAAGAGAGGATAGAAGTAACGGCACATTGGATGGTGTCTAGATTCAGCCTGTAGCTTATAAATGGATTAAGTGAATATTCAAAAACTTGAAGGAAACATTGAGGAATGTCATAGAGGGAAGCTGGTGTTCAATCTCAAATTCTTAAATAGGAGTAGTTTCTTTGCAGTGTTGGAGTGAACAATGACAATCAACATACAGTGGTGCTGCAGGAAGATAGATATCTAATTCGTTTTGTTAAAAATCTGAAGTCAGTGAGCAAACTCGTTGAAGATTTACATCAACTTTGCAACATTGTCTGATGTCACCTCACAAAATGGAGTCGCAAAGAGATTGAATAGTACCGTGAAGGATAAGCTTATGAGTATAATGGCTCACGTTAATCTCAAGATGCAATATTTTGGGAGCTGCGTTCAAGAGAATCTTGAGAAATTTTGAAGTACAAAGCTAGGTTGGTGGCCAACGGTTACAATCAGAAACCAAGAATTAATTACCATGAAAGCTTTACTCTTTTAGCAAGGTATGGTTCCATCAGACGCTCTTAGAATGATTGGGAAGTAGAGCACTTTGATGTCAAGACAGGTAGGATGAAGGATGTAAAATATGTTAAAACATTCTTGTGTTCCAGTTGTAAGCTAGGATTTAATGATGAAGAAAGTAGCAAAGAGACAGTTGAAATTCTGCAGTTTCATTACCTTTAGCAGTGTCGTATGTTCAGTGACGATTGCTATGGTTTATACCAGACCAGACATAACCCACCGAGTGGCAAACTTGGCCATATATATTAAGTGTCCAACTCCAGCTCCCTGTCAAAAGGTACTCAGGCACGTAAAAAGCACTCAAGGCTGTCACTTGGATTACATAAAGTTTAGGATCTAAGCCTACACATTTTATTGCTAAAAATCATTTTCTTAGAAACTGATCACACTTTTGAAGTGCTTGATTGTCGAATAGTGGGGCTGAGATAATCACTCTAGCTGAAGTTCGAGAGTGTTATCTAGAGCCTGATATTACTTTTGCTACTCATAGTCCACCTCGGGTTAAATAGGAATGGTAGCAAGCTATGTTAATAAAGGAGAGTCAGTGGAGCGTGAGGCACGGGTGATACATCTAGAAGACATCATAATCAACTGCCGCTACAAACTTCAAAATATACAAACTACGATATCCATGTACCTGAGCAATAGACTCTACTGATGATTGATGTTTGAACCTAGAAAACTGGTGTGAACCCACGTCCATGTCATTTAGGACCACGGAATAAACCTCCTTCACTTGCTGCTTTCCCGCTCATCAATTTGTACTCTGATACTCACTTGCGAAACGGAGAAGACAGATTTGCAAAGATTTACTGTGGTGTAAAGACAACACGGAAATTGTATGTGCAGAAGGTAAAGCTTTGGAGGAAGAAAAAGAGTCGATCTATGGGGCAGCTTTTGCTCAAGAAAGCAATGTCGATGAATTGCATGAGGTCGCTCTGTTTTCCCTATTGAATATCCTTCTGGTTTTCACGTCAACTTCTGAGAGTAGACAGTTCTTAATTTACTGTTCAATTGTTTTAGACCATAGCTTCCGCTTCTGGAAGACAACGTCAAGTTGAGCATGATACCATTGAGACTGTCACGCACCACCTTGCCTATGACTGAGCCCGGACACCAACTGTGAGCTCTAGGTTCCCATCTCCTAGGAGTGTAAGAGGAACGAGACTCGTAAAGCTAGAGATGAAATGGTAGCGGGAACTCTTCTCGCACTCGTCTTTCACAACGCAGACTAAGTCCCTGACAAATACTTGTGATCTTCTTCTCTTGCAGAGGGGCCTCCTGGCGACGGCAGGCCGAGGGAAAACGGGTTCGGAGTTTTTCATCACTCTCGACTCCGTCGCCGAGCTGGACGGTCAATTCGTCGTCTTTGGGGAGGTGGTAGAGGGCATGGATGTGGTCGATAAGATCAACAGTGTTGCAGTCAATTCGGATGGAGAACCGACAGCACCCATTTTGATCTCGAACTCAGGACAAATTTAATGGATCTATGGTGTCAGTGACAGTGCCAGGGCTGGTTTTGGTACAACTTTTGCGACGCCCTTCTCCTTCTCATAGCGAGGATTGATGCCTGTGAAGCTTCGAGGTCTCGAAGATTTGTCCAGCTTCCTTCATCCTCCTTAATTGGAAATCCCCTACGTTCTACAGGATCTTCGCTAGTTAAGGAAGTCAAGCTTAAGATAAAGAGCCCAGAACAAGGAAGCAGTTATCCGGATGGTCTTGCAGTATGACTTGCTTCAAAGGTTGGGCATTTTTTGCTGCAACAAGCAGCAGCAGCATCGGCCACTGCAGTCTTCACTTATATCAGATTCATATGACATTGGATCTTCCTGAAGTTCCACTGAAGTGAGGCTATTCGAGTGGATATCGAAGATTTTATGGCCGGCCAGATGTGCTTTCTGATCCATCTGCATCAATACTGTAAACTTACGCCAAGTTGGTGATCCAGCGTTGTGAAGTATTCTTAAGAGCAGACAACAACGTTGACTCATTGCTCCTCTGAGGACGAGAAGGTCTGTACATCTGGTCTGTCGCCGTGAAAAAATCGACTTGTCAGCAAAGGTAAAACCATTGCCGTATCCTTTGCCTCCAATATCTGAAGTACGTTATACATATCTAAGAAAACATGAGCGAGCTTTGGAGCGGAGGTATGGGCTCCGTGGGAGAAAAAACCATCGAAGCTCGAAAGTCCAGTCTCTGCTCGAATTTTTTGTGTAGGAGCTTGAGGTAGAGGAAATTAGTTTTCTAATGCTCATACCACACCGCAGTGGAAGCCTGTCAAGCAAACATGAATTTTGTCTGTGCAATATTTCTTACAGTAAACATCAGTGTTCAATCCCTTAACGGGATCTGGTCTATATCCTAGCTCCTGCTATCCACTTATATCCAGTACTGTACTCATTCATCTTTCTAATGATCCGTGTGAGTTGAGCTCCATCGTCGAATTCCTTATCCAAATTATCTTTGGTCTTCGTGAAAAAGCTCTACGCTCAGAGTTTGTTGACCATTCGGGTCACCTCGGTTCGTATGGTTGTCAGTAAGCAGAAGCGATCCCCGACACATGTTCTTCCATATGTGCACTCCGCTGTAGTGCAGGTATGGTATGTCAGGTATGGGGATTCTGTGGCAAATGTCATCACTTACCTTTGGCATTCAGAGACATTGTGGCTTCCAGGGGTTCTTTATGTCGGGAAGAATCTAACCACAGGACTATAGATGGGACATACACTTCCTTTTTAAGTATGCGAATATACAAGTGACGACCAGTTTCCAACTATCAATCTTCTTTCAGATCACCCTCCGCCACAAGGCGAGCATAGTACAGTGCAATGAGTCTGAAAATGAGCTAAATTCCCATTCGTGCCAGTGAAAACTCATGAAATTGTAATTGCTTTACTTGATGTGGCTATATCTTTTGTGCACCTTCACCTCCGTAGTCTTCTTTGCAACGGAGATTCATTTCAGTGCAGTCAGTTACTTAATGCGAGCTCCATGAATCAAACTATGTTTACCTACTTTTATTCCATGCGTCTCCCCTTGAAATATGAACAAGAGAGGTGTTTACTATAAGCTACCGAGTAAAGGGGAAGCACCATGGATCGGTATGGAGTCATATAGTGCAAAGACTAGAGGATACTGTATTCCTTCTTGTTATCCGCTAATCCAGTAAAATGAAGCTAGATGCACGAAAAAAGGTGGAATAAAGCCTACCCGGATTGAGAGATAGATGTATGTGTCGGGAGTCAAATGTAAATTAAGTTTTGTTTACATCTAAACTTCGGTACTGCTTCTCAACTACCATGGGAAGTACTGTGTCATGTTTAATTTTGAACTATAGACTCGCACGTAGGTTTTTGTTCTTTAATCACTGGTGTAGGTAGTTTTGGTCCTATACTTAGTTTACGTTGACACTTACTTAGGGTAAAACCTATGCGTTGGGTAGGTAATTGTTGGACTACATAGACTGGCATCTTTTGAGTAAATATCTACTCTATTATTCGGAAGACCCACAACGCAGCATGACTATTTTGCACCAGATAATACACTTCTTTCACCGTTAAATTTATTCAAAGTCTATCAAAATTCAAATCTCAATTTATATTATTCTTACATAATAACAAATTCTCAATAATTATTATGTAAGAACACTTTCTGGAATATTGATTGAACATAATGCCTTCAAGGAGGGGTTAGAGGAAAACAAAGTTAGCTATCAGTCGAAATAACTAAATTATATGATCCTTGTGAGGGCCGGTTGACACTCAAATTGTTCATAATATGTTGACACTCAGCACCTAAACATTTGTCCTAGGACTTTCATACTGCCCTAGAAAATCAGGCCCATAACCCACGGGTTCACTGGTATGTGACACGTACGTCATAAACCAGTCGTGGAGTAAGTGATTTCATTGCTTTTTTCAATTCTTTACTTGCCGAGGGTTGTTGTAGTTTATGACAATAATTCTTGCTTTCCAGCAGTATTGCTTGGCGATGTGTGACCCGAAATGTTTTCATTCCATAACACCATAGCACTAATTGGGAGCGACAGCAAATTCTATCAGCAGATTTCTCTGCTGACTAGGTTATGGGATCTAGTCTGCACTGATTTAGTTCAGTGACCGTTTGGTAGTAGAAGGAGAAACCTTTTGGCAAGACCTTCGTGGGGTAATATCTGACGCACATCCAAGTTCCTTGCGTGAAGGTTAGAGTTCGGGACAACATCGCCTCAGAAGAAGATTAAAATTTCACTTATTAGTTCAGCTTGGTTATATATATATAATGTATTTTTCAATTACGCATACATCACGCTCAATCATTTTTTAATGGTTTTATTTCATTGTTCAAGTGATTATACTAATTTGTAATGGTGTCGAAGGTAATTCATAACAGTACGACATATGCGTGACCTTAATGTGGTTCATGTACGTCACACAGGCTCTTGGCATTCTCAAGATCATACATGATTTTCTCTGACAAGTTTTTATTCTTCTCTATGATTTAACGAAAAATAATCATCGTTAACTTCATACTTACTCTCTTATAATTTTCGTATAGAGAACCTGGTTTTGATGCGGATAGCAGTTGTAACTATCAATTTAGGCCAGAATATAACTTTCTCACTGGATTTAATGCTGTAAAAATCTACTTAATAATTAAACAGATTTATATCAATTTCAAGGTAATATTCAAAATAGGGCAAGCTATCGAATCTGTTGAGTATTTTCGATTCGTCTCAATATTAAATTCAATTGGTAGACGAGTGAAAATATAAAAATCAAACATTGCATGAGGCCGAAGTATAACATTGGGGAAGTTGGAGTAAGCGCAAAGTACGATCGGTGGGTGGGACCTCCATCGGCATCTTGACGGATCGAGATGCAAAAACAAGCACACCAATGGGACGAAACTGGGCATTATCGCTTAGTCTTGCCAATCATCAACAGCAAAAAAATAAAAAATCAGTGAATGTTTAGCACGTTTGGTGTGTTTGATAGGCGGTGGAAGATTTTGCGTCCATGTGATGCCCATCTCCTGGGAATTTGTGGGGCCTGCTCAGGTCACAAGCAGGCCCTTAATCAATCAGAGGCACAACAGCAGCTCCAGGCCCTGGGCAAAAGTTGTTGTACACTCCAGTTTCCCGATCCCGGTGACGTTGCAGCTCAGCTCGACATGGCCTGCATGGCTATGGCCAGCCTTCTCTCACGTGATAAAAGTCATTCCGGTTTTGAAAACTGCCTGCGTCACATTCCTGGTAACTCCGGTCCGTAGGGTCAGTAGTGGGGGTACTGTACTTTGCACCGTTCTCTCCGCAAGCAGGAAACTGTCAATCGATCACTCGACAGCGATTGATCGATTTCCATCAGCATCACGATTTTGGTCCCCGAGCAACGCGTCGCGTGCTCAAGCAAGGTGGCGAGACGCATTCTAGTTCCGATGTTCCTTCACCGGACAGACATAGACAGGAAGAGACCTGAAGTGCAGCTGTAGAATCTCTGGTGTAACAGCAGTTTACTTACTGTCGACATTAGTTTATTTTGATACGATATTGCACGAGAAATGTCGCAGTGAGTGACTTAGCTTACTTCGCTACTTGTGGCGGAACCGTTCGTTACCTCGTGGATTTACACGAGACTGATCGAAGCCGTCGATGTGAAATAAAATGAGGAGAGTTCTTAGAGAATCGAGCTCCACAAACAGAGAAAGGACCATGAGACAATTCTGAAACAACACTACCTGATGAACAACAGTAGCACCCACCAGATTGTAAATCTAGAGAGTCCTCGCACATCACATGAACAAACTCCCGCCAATTTAGCTGCCGCTACCGAGAAAGGTTGACATCCTGCCATCGTCGACGGACGATCTGCTGCTCAGGCGAGGACTTGGCAGGCAGTCAGAGAGGCAGCGAGGTAGGTAAAACGTCCTGTACATGTACATGGCTATTGACGCTGTGTCAAAGGTTGCAGCACCCGCATTGCGTACCGCAACATGTCGATGGCGTGGGACGGAGAAGAGTCCAGAAGGCGGGCAGAAAGCATATTCTCGGCACAAGCGGTTTCTGACTCGACTCGGGCGGAAAGTCGAATGGCGTAGGCTCCGGGTAGGCCAGACCGAACTATATAACACATTGGCCTCGTCCGATCCAGCACAGCGATCGATTGCGAGCGTTGGTTCTGAAGTCGCAAGGAAACAGAGAGCGAGAGAAGCAAGAGATCGAGTGCTCGATCACAATGGCCGCCACGACGATCTCGTATGCCTCGGTACTGCCGTCGACTGCCGGGGCTCTGTGTGCCAGGAAATCGCAAGTCGCCGGCGTGTCGCTGCCGGCGTTGAGCCGCAGGCCGAGCGCGACGCGCGGCCTGCGGGGGGTCGCGGTCGCCAGTGGCGCCAAGAAGATCAGCACGAAAGAGCCTTACGGTGAATCTCGCACGACCATCGCGCTCCCTCGTTTGCTTGCACCATTCTGTGACAGTGGTGGATTTTTACGTGTCTTCGTGGGCATGCATGGCAGGACCATCTGGGGGCACCAAGTTCCGAGGCGGAGTGGACGCATCGGGCCGAAAGGCAAAGGTACGCGCGCATGAACTGTTTCTGCTCGAGCGATCCCAGAGCGATTGTATCTGAGACTTGGAGCCTGACGAGTCGAGTCGTGCCTATCGTTGCAGGGAAAGGGAGTATATCAATTCGGGAAGAAGTACGGTGCCAACGTGGACGGCTACAGGTACAGCAGCTCCCTCTTCGTAAAACAATTTCTTGCGCTGCATCTTCCGTCAACCATCAGCAGCTTCACGCTTCTCTGCTCGTCGCGAGCCCATCCACATGTTCTCTTCGTCCTCTTCGCATCTGCTCTTACATGCTCCCGACCTTCTGTCGAAACGTTCAGTTGATATTGTTTTCCCTTGCCGAGAGGTCCTCGAAGGTCCCTGGCTAGTCCTCACCCGAGCTTGTGTGCAACTTGGTCCTCATCGGTCTGCGCAGACTAGATGTTGCCGGAGTTTTCTTTCTTCAGAATTAAAGCCGGTCTTTGGATTTTCAAGGCCTTGAAAGTGCATTTCTGACATCGATCGATCTCTGTGATGGCAGTCCCATCTATGCACCGGAGGAGTGGTCGCCATCGGGTGATACATACGCCGGAGGTACAGTACGCGATATACTGCTTGGTTGCCTTCTTCGTCTTCTCGGACTTTGGTGCTCGAACTTCGATTTTGCTGCTCTGATGATGTGGCCAACTGTGTCGATGCAGGACAAACGGGGCTCCTCATCTGGGCAGTGACTTTGGGCGCGCTGTTGCTCGGCGGAGCTATTCTCGTGTACAGCACCAGCGCGCTGGTTTAGACCCTTGCCTTCGCCTTCGCCTTCACCCTTGTAAGATACCCCGCGGTCAGTACGCTCCGAGTACCGCGCTTATCGAGAAGAGGCCGATAAGCGAGTGCAAGGGCGTTGTAATCATGTGCTGTAATTAATACAAACAGTTCAAGTCAGACACACAGACACTTTACTCGTCGTGAGATGACAACCTCAGAACTCATGTCGAGCGCATGGGCCGTCCTCTCATGAATGGTGTATTGCTTGCTTGATGAGCGTGATATCTATTTCCGATATGACTCGCTCCTAAACTGATTCCGTTATGGTTATGGTTATTGGCGCGTCTTCCAGTTATGTTCTACCCTGCTCGCTCGTCCAGTCCAAGTGGCATCAACATGCGGATCCACTTGTCGTGCCTCTGAGTAGAACAACCATTGGACTTTCGTTATGACACAGGGTTGAAAAATGAGCGCAATGTGAACGGAAATAAATCCCGACACGGAGCGAGCGATCAGAAAGAAATGAAGGTTCATACTGAGGCGATCGAAAACCCAATCCACATACATGCTCCTGGCAACGGCCGAGCCATGCTTCCTCTCGACAGCCCATGTCTGTAAATTCACTGATGTCGTCGTCGAATGAAAACCTCGAGTGATGGATGCTTCAGTGGGACTCTAGGAGAGAGCAAGGGCGCGGAGGTGAGAGCGAGCGAGCACAGAACAGTCGGCTTCGCAGAGAGCGAGTGCATCGACTGCCGTAGCCTTCCTTTGCCTTCCCGCGATTAGCCCACCCTCAGACACTGGCTGTCACAATCTCGACGCCATGAAACTCACATGCGAGAGTCAAATCAGAAGCCCTGGTCAGTGCTCCTCGTCTCAACCACTTGCAAGAGTTCCGGTTGGCGTGCACAAAGCATAAAATCCTTAACTGCTTGGCCTGCACTTTCCATGGTGGCGCCGACGTGAGACCGAGACAGTGCTCGAGGATAATGCACGAACGAACCCTCCGTTTCTGCACACTCACCTGGAATCGAGCGTCTGCCCCATGGACGAAATTGGATCGAGACATGAGTTTCATTTCTCTGATGCTGAGGAGGAATGATGTGGTTCATGAGACAACGAGACAACGAGCGAACAGGCGACGATAGAGAATGCAGAAAACGGGATCGGACCATTACAACACGCGGCAGAGCCCTGACGATGTGCGATTCACGAAAACGACGATTGACTTGAATTTTCCCGGTCAGCATGAGCTCGAGAACATTTACGATGTTTTGAGGGCACTGGAGCTGAAGATCCTGCAGCCACGATCTCTGCCCAGTCTTCGAATCTTTCTGCACGACAACCGGCTGTGGACGATCGATAACAAACTTCTGTACATCTACAGAATCTCGCCCAAAGTCCGACGAGTCTCCGTCACCTTCATCTCCAGTAGCAGATTCATCGACAAGTTCTTGAATGACAACTCCAAGTCGGACTTGGAACGAATGGCGTCGCCCGACTTCTTCCCGGAGGTCGTTCGCTCGCTGGCCGACAAACAGCCGGCCATTCAATCCTCGTCGCAAGAGTGCGTTCTCCTACCGACGGTCGCGGCATTCAACAGGATGGACGCAGACCGACTCAGCAATTCCAAATCTCATTCATCCTCCTCGAACAAGTCGCTCGCGTCTGGATCGAACTCGTCGTCGAAAACGGTGGCCACTCGTATCTCCTCGGACGACAATGCCCAGTCGCACCGGACTGCGGGCGCGGCAGTGGAAGCCGAGTCGCCATACCTGAGGCCCTTGCGCACCTGCACGGTCCGATCCAAGATCAGTCTCGAGTCGTCGAATAACTCGTCCGTCACATCTTATCCCGTCAAGACCAGGAGCACAAGAGATGACGAAACGATGCGCCAAGACACGGAAGCGAATCGGTCGCTCGACTCTTCCTCAGCGGGCCAGATCTACTCCGACTACTTTGTGGAGACTTCGTCGGTGCACATTGGCGCGAGATCGAGAGTTCTTGATTTGCGCGCCACCGTCGCATTCGACAGAGACGACGAGCAGCAGCAGCAGCAGCAGCCACCTTCGGGCTCGTCGTGTTTCAGGAGAGCAGTTATCGAGTGCCGAGATATTCCGGTGGCCAGCACATTGCCTCCAGTGCACACGCTGACAGACGCGGGGGCGCTGAATTGCTCGAGGAAGATCATCGCTGCAGCTGCGCACCAGGAAGACCGATCGGAAACTCCGGACAGTGCAGACGCGAATTTTGCAGAGGAGCTTTCCAAATGGCGGGACGTCGACGCTGCCGACGACCTTGCAGCACCGGACTTGATGGGCAATTTTTCCTCGAAGCCCATGATGATGATGATGCTCATGAATCAAGCTCATGCCGGCGCTGCTGAGGCCCACGAGAGGTCCGGCAGGTCTCCGCCCGCCGAGACCAGTGCCAACTCGTCGTCCGACTCCGGCAAGCAGAGGCCGTTGAGGCTGGACAGGCCCTTGAGCTCGTGCGGCAGTTCCGCGGCGCCCGTGCTCGAAAGGCCGTCGACTTGCACTTTTCCGCTCGACGGTCGTCGCAGCGGCTCGCTCTTCCGCATCTGCACGAGCTCGACGGTCCAAGCCGATCGTGCCAATCCGTCTCCGACCAAGGGCAGGACCCGAGCGTTCCTCTCGGCCGAGAAGAAATCGCTGGGCAAACTCTCGCGCGAGCACGAGCTCGAGGTCTCGAAGAAGATTCTTCTGAAGCACATGCGAAAAGCTTTCTTCTCCGTGTATTGATCGATTGACCTTCCATCCATCCTTCCTTCCTTCAGCTGTTCACCTCCTGCCTAAAGCTCTAACTCCCTCGTTCACTTCATCCAGACATGTCTTCAATTGTTGATTTCGTGCATTTCTCTGATCTGAGGCAAGCCAGAATCCGCACCTAGCTCGAGTGATCGTGACGAGAAGAGAGAGAGAGAGAGAGATTGCGAAATATTTGAATTGTAATCATCTTCTCCCATGCCGATGACCGGAGCAGCATGAGGAGAGACGAGGATTAAAACATGAAGAAACATCGAAGTGAAACAGAGATCCAAATGCGTGCTTGTCAGATGAGATGAGATGAGATGAGATGTTGCACAATTCGTCGCGGATGCCAATTGTTCCTCGCATCGGAAGACCAACACTCTAAATGTCATTATTAGCGTCGTTGTCACACGCCGGCCTGACCGGCTGCAGTCGGTGAGGATCAATGGTTCGCAGGTTCGCCCCCGAACGTTTTACCCAATGGATTTGGATCATCCGACTTTTGACCCGGCACCGGCACTGCATGTAAATACTGTACGTTGAGAGTAGTCGAGAATTTCAATGCAATGGATTAGTACTAGAGAATTTGTATTGTATTATCAGCAGCTTCTTTCCCTCTTTCGATTTCCTCAAGCTTAGCCCTTTATTTCCTTCTCGCAGTCTAAACCCTCTCTCAAAAATTGCTTGCTCTGGAATATGCCCCCCACACGGCCCGCGATCTCCGGCCTGGAATTACTTCTATGATGCGAGTATAAAAAGTTGGGGTTCTAAATGCGCAAGACCTCGAAATGAACGTGCATACATAGAAGAACATGCCACGGTTGAGTGTTCTTCGCGGACAGGAAAGGACAACCTCTACATTTCTCTGCCCAACAACAAAACCAGGAGCTTAACCCCTCTCCTAAGAAGTTTTCATGCGAAATGGAAAAAGCTTAGCTCAGTTCAACCTAGAGAATTCGAGAATTGTTTAATCTATTCTGACCTACAAACAAATTAAAGCCATAGAAAATGTCATATTATATGTTACCTTTCCCAAAATCATAATCATGGGCTTTACCCATGCCCTAAAAAGTTGTCATGCAAATGAAAGAAACATGGCTCAGTTCAACCTAGATAATTCAAGTATTATTAAATTATTTGTTATTATGATCATCTAAGGGATCTTTAATACTAATAATAAGCTAGCCCCCTCTTCAAGGACGGTGGTTGTGGAAAAGGTCTCTCTTCCCGCTGGCCTGATAGCTGGACCTTTTCCTAGCCAGACTGAATGGGATATCTCCAGTAGACTCACGAGACGATCCACAGAAATTCTAGCTCGGGGAACTCCTTAGCGCTACCGATTTCACGCCGTGTTCCCCTTTTCCCCACATGCTACGATACCCTTTGGGCGATAGAGGGATAGAATACTTATCATCCTCACCTCAATATTCACTTCATATTCTTGAAGCGAATATTCATGTCTCGTATGGATAAATCATCTTAGAAAACTAAGAGTATATATATGTAACTACCGTACAAGCTACTCACATGATTTCACTTCTTACATTTTTATTTTGCATTAATGTTCAAAAATAAAGTATTTGACTTAACTTCAAACTCACAAACCACCTGAATATTGGAATTTGGTGTATTAACGAATCTATCAAACTTAGCAAGGTCAAAAAAGTAGTTAATTTCAACTTTCAATCGGGTTTAGAAACTATAGATTAAATTATTTCTAACTTATAATGATGGCTATGAACTTCTTCAATGCTACATCTTTGAATTAACCAAGTTTTTACCTTATGGATACTGTCATACAACAAAAAGCATCTATTACATTTCTTGAAAACCCTGACTATGTCATCAATGTACACATTAACGTGATATGAATAGTTATACGAGTTTTTCCATAGAATTTTATTTAATACTTACAACGAATTGTCATAATAAATTATGCAATATTTTAATAAATTTACGATTTTCCTAGAGCATAATATATTAATAACATTATTATGATTGAGATATTTATAATATTGTATTTTTCTAGTGCTTAATGATGTATTTTAGCCTCATGCTCATAATCCAAATGAAATATAGGAAACCAAGGAAGATGTTAAAAATATACACAACTGATCAATTTTCTTAAAATATTTGTTTTTTTATTAATTTTGTATCAAAGATACAATTATCGTACATGGGATAAAATGCACAATTCATAAATATATAAAAAATTCAACTTCTAAAGATATAGGATTTGAGACAAAGATTTTTGAATCGATGCATTTTCATATCATATATTTATAAGGAAAAATAAATTGAATTACATGTTTTTTAGTTTTATTTTTATTTAAAAAAATTTAAGCAGATATATTCTAATAACATGAATAATAAGCTAAAGAAATTATGTTTCTAAGATGATTATATAAGATGTTGTAGTGTTGCATCGATAATTATTTGAAAATAATATCAAGTTACAATCAAATTATCTTTTATGCTCATAATTTTGAGTAAATGATATTACACATTAAACATTTTTGTTGCATGAAGGTTTTTTTTTCTTTATGTATAGCTAAACTCATAACTATAAAATATTAGTGTAAAATATTCTTTGCATTCAATTCAATAGTTGGCTAAGAGATAAGTGATAAGCAACGTATGTAAAGCTATTTTTGCTAGTCTATGTTCAATTTAATTTTATAATCTAACTGCATCAAGAAACACAAAATACATATTTACCATAAATATAAAAACAATGATAGGAACAACAATGACAATTATTCATGGTTTGTTATTCTTGCTCTACATACATAAAAATAGCAAGGTATAATTTATAATGTTCGGTTCAAGCTATGTCTTGCTATATTACATATACAGGGTAGCAAATACGTTTTTTGTTTAGCTTAAAATTAGATACAAGTCAAAATTTGATAGACCCATAAATTGATTTACTTGTAAACTCATGTCAAAAGGATAGTAATCTTCATAACGTATGAAATTATTTTGCAAAAACAAAATATACATATCTTTACACAAAGCTAACTAGAATGAAGTAGAAGCCAAAACATGAAAGAGTAATAATTTATGAAGTTCACACAAGTTAATAGTAAACTCTATTTGTGGTCTTCATGCAAAATTTGCATAGTGATACAATGTATACCAAAAATTTTCAAAGGTATTAAATTTGATCAGCATATCACCTGGATTTTATTTTTTGTTAATCTTAAATAGCTTAATTCTAATATTCCGCACTTCAATCTCTTTATTAAGCACTTCATCATATCTGATAAAGTAAACACTGATGTCCATGTGTTTCATTTTGTTGTTCATCACTTGATTTGTAGAAAGATGAAACACACTTTGATTCTCACAATAAAAATTTACAATCTTCTATTCAATTTCATATTAATAGAAAGCTCAAATTAAATAGCTTACTCTTCTTCGTATGATGTTACTTCATATATAGCTTCTATTATGAATTGAATGATGCATCTTTCAAAATAGATCCTCAAATAATCCGTTCATCATTAAATGTAAACACATATCTAGTTGTAGGTATAGTTTTTTCTGAATCATGTACATAGTCAACAAAATCAGAGTCTAGCAAGACTTTGACATTTTCTAATAAACCATCATACAATATATCATAATACTTAGTATTCTTCAAATGCGTGAGAATTCAGTTCACTACAATCTCATGCATTTTTTTTGGATATGACATATATTTGCTAACTTTGATCATCGTTAGAGCAAAATCAAATTTTGTCCATATCATCAAACACAAAAGACTATTTAGAATTCAGCATGAATTACGCTACAATGTCAAAGAAATTGAATTCCAACGCTGCGAGATCATTTAAAAAGTAAGAAATTTAACACAAAACTCATTAAAACCTTAACAAATACGTTTTAAAAAAGGATGGAAAGAAACAAAATTAATTATTGAACGATGCTTATGATTTTTGGACAAAGTTAAGCAGAAGATCTTCAAAGTTTTAATGTACGATCTACTAATCTTGAAGATATGTTGTACATCTAGGTTGACAACATGCGTCGTGGCAGGCTTCATGTATCATCATCTTTTGCCATAATGAAAGCAAAAAATATTGCTTCAACATTATTCAATTCCAATTTAGACTTTAAATATTCATGGCAATGATTTGCTCGTTTCAAAACAAAATGAGGTTCACAAAAAATGATTCTTCATTGCTTGACAAAAATTATTCATAATAAAAATCAGCGTGTATAACCAGTATGTAATGTAGCCTTGTTTCTACGAATTGCTACTATATACTAATTGACTCTATTATAATATCTTCTTATCCGCATCTTTGAATTGAAGCTTCATACCCACTATTCTTTGTTTCATTTCCAACTGTAACTCTTCTCGCTGCAACTCGTACAACTGTGTCGCTCTTCAATAAGTACTGAATGTACTGATCTCTTTGGTGAGGTTTCTAACTTTGGTTAGAAGCTTCTCCCTTTCTCCAACAAGGTTCTTCCGCTCCTCGGCTCTCTTCAAATTCAGCCTCATAATTGTGTTAATGTTCTCAATAAGAACATTGATATTTCTCAAAAGCTTCTCTTTCGAGTTGACAAGTTGTACGCGCTCATGATCCAGCAGACTAAGTGAACCGATTTTGTCGTTCAACAACCGTGTTAAGGAGTTCCGGTATCTCTTTGACCAGTAGCACTCGTTCCTGATCCGACCTCCGGAGTGAATTTATATCCTCTATCAACACGCTAATCGTATGCTTCATCACGTGTTTAATAGCCACCTCCCTTGAATTATGATCCGAGCATAACATCAAAATATCCACGTAATTGGAGGAACGTTGCTTACTCCAGATATATCTCATGTCCATCAAGAAAGACTTCCAGATAATGTCAAAAGCAGGTAATAATTTCCTTGAGAACACGCCTCTCCGATATCAACTTCCGTTTCATGAACATCTACAATGATACACAATTTGATAAATATTGAGCCGCGCATTCCAAATATTGAGTTCAACTAATGAAAAGAGAGCACTTCATTCATCGAACACAAGTAACAATCAAACTCAACGCATTCAATGCTCTCACAGTATAAATGAAATTGCTTCCTTTTGTTGATGAGTTGTACTCGTACGTGTTCCAACTTCCTGAAAGCCCTGGACTCTTAAATCAGCACATCAATCCTTGCTACAAATTCATCCTTGTCCTTCAAAAGATCTGCACTTTCTAAACGCTTCAATGCTTTGATCTCTGCAGTGTGTACATTGATGGTTGATTGCAATACCTTCTTCTCCTCAACATGGGTTTTTTCCCCTTTGTTTCAACTGCTCTAATGCATTGAGATTCTCAATGAGCTGATTAACTATAGACACAAGTGTCTTGTTTTCGTCAAGCAACTGTTCTAGTTGCTAGGCATCCGACTACTTCAACGTACTGAGCTCTTCAGAAAGTGAACACAATTTTGACAGAAGTTTATTCTGGTCGTGAACGACCTGATTGTGCACCTAGTCTGACTGCTGCAGTGAACTATTATCATCCGTGAGCACATTAATATTTGACAGGAGTTCCTACTTCTGATGATATGTGCATAACGTTTCTGCACTTGTAGCAATCCAGACCTTTCACGATTTGACAAATACCTTGACGTCTCTAATACACTCTTTGACAGTACTATTTGTTATCTTTCTTTGAATCTCACCTCGCCTTCTTGGATAGTACAGTTGGCCTTCGGTCGTCAATTATCCGTTTCATGGTTATATCATGATCGAACTAATAAGTTTTCCTCCCTTGTAGTTGGGCAATAGGTCTTGATATCCAAAGTGCATAACCTCTGACTTGTGAATGTGCTCC